TTCTCGCGGCCGTTCCCGGTCGGTCCGTGATAAATTCCCTGTTATCTTAACGACATCACGAACGATCGAGAAAGTCCGTCGTTTACGAATGGAAAAGCACCGATCGAGACTTTTTAATAGATTCCCCGAGTTCTGGTTGAAAATAATTACCGAAGGGGTTCCGATTAAATAGAATCGTTCCGCGGTCGGCCAACCGACGAAATTAATTGCTCGAATTATCCGTGGATAAAAGGGAATCGAAAAATTCCCCTTAATTGCGTGCGGATATGACGATGAAACTTTGATGGCGAGTAATTAAACGGTGATTAAGTAAACACGCGAAACCGGTGGCGCAAAATTTGCCTGGTATCAGGTGGAACGGTGGAACGGTGAAACGGTAACGAGAAGACACATGGAAACTGTACACGATAACCTCGATGGTCGCTCGAAAACGATATGTAAGCATTCGAGTAAATGTTTATTTACCAAAATGTACTGGTACATTGGTAACTGCACTTGTATCATTTACACTACGTGTATTTTATTAAACGAATCGTGTACTTTCGTTTTGTACATATTAATGTAAATCTGTTGTACTTTAAGAACATAAGTGTACGCGATATGTTACCGTAATTTCAAAGACAAATGTACGTTTGTAAATATCGAAATTTTACCGTAATACAACTAGACTGATAATTTTACCGTTTTATCTGTTATTTGAATAATGACCGAACTACCGATTTAACATCCCGGGCCGGCAATTGATAATTAGCCCCGTAGGGATTCGAAATGAACCGCGTTGCTTTTGCTCGATAATCGTGATAAATCCTCGAAGAAAAACGACCGTCTTCGCCGCGGTGGCGAGATGAAATTGAAAACACAAGGTAAAGGTAATCCTCGTAAATATCCGAGGGAACGGAACGTTACCAAGCGTGCTCTGTAAATTTTAGTCGATGCAACGTGAAAATGATTGCACGCTCGAGACTTTAATAAACGAAATTCCATACGCTCGATTTCGAGGGTATCCGTTCGTTTTAAAATAAACGTTTAAGCTGCATGCACAAATAATAGAGATAGCAGAGACGGTGGAGAAGAAGAGCGTTTTAGAATTGAGTTAGTTCGGTCATTGGGAAGCAATGAAGCATCCCGCGCGAATTTGCCCCGAGTTTCTGACAAGGCTTTGCTAGGCCATTGCTCTGTCGTCGTCTATGCACCGTAATATTAAATCAATCTTTCCATGACTGATTTTCACTTTATCGAACGTTCAACCACGAAACAATGAAAATAGAAAATTTGATTATTAAAAGATCGAAGAAGGAGGAACGAAAGAGAGAAATTGATCGCAATCGTTGATAGAAAGAATTTAATCGCGACAGACATTTCAATATTTACCAACGATCGGACGAGAAATTTCGGCAGAATTTCAGTCTCGATATCGATTCTCAGCGAGTCGGATTTCACGCTCTGACAAGTGTGACAGCCTATAAATTGAGATTTGATCGATGACCTTCACAGGCTAGTAATAACTGCAGGGCCAATGTTTGCTCGTGGAAGTTCTAGAACGACATCGGTTATAGACTCTCTAACCCGTGCGGAAAGAGCAACCTAATTCACGGCCGAGTTCGCTCCAAGTACGGAAACAAAAGTTCTTTTAATCGGAAGCAGATAGAGGGAGGGGAAGGAGAACAAAGGAACGACCCTTATTATGATGGAAAAAAAAAAGGGAAGATCGACCGACGAATATGCCTCTAGCACGATCCATTGCTCGAGATTGAATTTCATTGTACTCTCGTGTGACCAGAATGCGTTTTCAATTCTTTCCCTACTAACGACAAGGCTATTTTCGGTGATAAATTAGATAATTTCACTCGTGTACGATCAGAGAGGAAAATAAAATTAAGAACAAGTATCAGACAAGGCTCGGATCGATTGAATTTATTTAGCCGTGTGTATCTACTTACGTTAGAGAGAAAAAGAAAAAGGGAAGCGTTCGTTCGAACAGTAGCAAAAGTGGCTTTCGACGTGATTTATTAAAAGATCCCGGACTTTCGTTTCTCCTTCCTTCCATTATTTCTATTATTGCCGAGCTCGACGATAAACTACTAAACGCACGGTGTGTTCCCCTAATCTAGAACAGCATAAAGGGGGAACGATCTAATTCGAAGGAGAGGTCCGGCAGGCAGCTTTTATCGCGAGACACCGTCGTAAAAGTTTACGTTCCAGAGGGACAACGAACTTGCCTTTTAGCGAGTTCGATCGAACTTCTTGGCCACGGTTTAATTAGATCGTTTAGAGGAAGCAACCAACGTGTGTCTCTTGCTCCCTAACATCGCGGCAAATTCACCCCGTACCGCCCCTCTAGCCCTCTAACCCCGTTTGCAGTTCGCTTCTCCCCTTCGGTTCGTACAGAAGGAACCGATCAAACCTTATCTCTGAAAGGGTCCAACGTTCTCGAAAGCCCCGATAGGACAGGGAGCTGGCAGTGATAGGTCAACCGAGCCGTAGAATTGAACCTTGATCTACGCCCCGAAGAACCGGTACACATGGCTGGCTTGGAACTGGGATATATCCCATCGATTGCCATGTCCAACGCTCGAGTGGATCAGTTTACCCGCGACCGAATCTCCTGGACGACATGTTCGGCTCGGATTTAAACCAACCAGCGATCGATCCTATACTCTACACTCTGGACACGGTTTAACCCTCCCTCATCCTACACCACCACTTCTAGCCTCTATCATCGTTCGTTTACTTTTACAATTAATACCTTTATTACCTTACAAAGATGTTAAGATATTAAAGAGATAGTTTCCTCGCGTCCGTTAAAATCGACGCGTCAGATTTAGTATAAAGATTATACTAACGCCTTTGGCGTGGCGTATGTAGAGCGTAGAAAGTGGATCGAGCGATCTAAGAAAATACGAGGACACCCGCGGTAATGGCCATTACCATTCGTCATCTGTAAAAGGAGATTAAAGTTGGTTGGTGTTCGAGCAACCGATCCGACGATAAAGCCCTTGGCCAAGCTCGAGCTATATTCGAGATCTCCTGAATTTCTTGGCCAACGTATGTATCTACCTATATGTACGTTCCGGATACGCTCGAAATAATCGTGTTTCTTCGGCCGTGATCTAACCAGACAATTCACCTGGAACTTTTTGACTATCGGTTAACCTCGGACTCGACGCGATATATACCTCTATTGTCAATCTACAACGTCGTCGCTTTGATTATGTTACAAGCTTCACGTAAACGACAATCGTTTACAGAAGCGTATCGAAAGGATCAGCCTTATCGAAGGCCGATTGATTGACGTGTTTCGCGTCAAAGAACATGGATCCCCCCGACCGTGTATTCATCGATCCGTATTCTATTGATTAATCGCGAATGGGAGCATTGGCTACTGAAGTTCCACCAATCAATTTTTTTTTTCTTACACACCTATGCGATAGAAGTGTAATTATAAGAACAGTAGGTAGAGTCGCGAAGTGTAGAGCTAAAATAAAAATATCGGGCAACGATCGTTCGTTGAACTATTTTAATCGATAGGATAGGATTATTTTGTAGCAAAGCTGAAACTCGCAATCTTCGACCACGACTGCTTGTTATTAATCTAATTTCGTTTATTTTTCCAACAAGCAACGACCGTCGGACCGTGGATCGTAACGTTTCGAGAGGAACCGGTAATTAAGAGGGGAGATGCGTAAACTCGATAGCGAAATACTTGCTTTTAACCCGGGACCTCTTGGCTATTTCGGCCAGCCAGCAATTTCAGGTCAACTCGAATAAAACCATTATCACGCGGAATCTCGAAGAAAAGAAGGAATTCTAAAATACCTCCCCGATGCGATATCTCCTTTGGGATTAGACGTTGGCGAGCTTCGTTTTAAGCTGACGAGAGAGAACTTTCCAGACCCACACCGCGTTTCTATGTTTTCACGGATTCCGAATTCAATTTCCTCCTTGCGAACTTTCTTGATCTCCTAAAAGTTTCGACCGATAGGACGTTGAAGAGGTTCAACGGTCAAAGAAACGATACAGATAATCATGGAACTAGACTAGATATTCTACAAAGGGTTGAAGCCCTCATATGGGCGACCGGGTGCAAACGTACGCATTTAGATCTTTTGATAGAAAATTTGCACAGTTGGTTAAGAGTTTGACGAAACCTTTTAAATCATCATCGCTCAAATATCTCTACGTTGATTTATCTATTTATACGAGGCGTACAAAAGTAGCCCGATTACCATAGAAGAAAGAAAGAAAGGGTTGGATGCCCGCATAGAGGTGAAGAAAGTCTGCTCCTTGCAATACTCCTGTTCTGCGAAGAGTTAAGATTAGACTAGTCCCTTCAACCATCTCTCTGTAATTCCTGACTCGAATTTGAATTCTACCCTCTAGTTTTACTCATTGCTTTCCACATCCTTCGTCGCGAGCCATTCTCGTTCGTCTAAAGACGATAAATCCTCTCGATCAACTCGACGCAAATTGAAATTCCAATATCTCAGCCGGAACAGAACGTCGAGAAATGGAAGGGAGGACAATTTTTCTTCTAACCAGTTTCCAACCAGATTTAACGAACGTTCAATCGTACCGTTTTGTTTTGTTTTTTTTTTTTTTTTTTTTTTTTTTTATTACACAGTTCTGCTAACGATTTTCGATCATTTTTTAATCGTCATCGAGCAGGTTGTATCAGCGGGATCGATAGAAGCTGCGATAGGTCATGTATCGAAGCGTGATAAGAGTAAATTTATCGAACGTCACGATAATCCTTTGATACACGGTGTTGTCTGGCGTTATCCACTTTTTTTTTTTTTTCGTTCTTTTCTACTCTCACCATCGCGTCGAGGAATTACGATCCCGTTGGAAATTGACGATTTTCGAAATTGCTCTGACCCGATAAGTAAGATTATCATCGGTGTTAATCGACTGTTTCGATTCACTCTCGCAAAAGGAAAAACGATAATTAGACGAAATTATGCCGAAGAACGTAACACGCAGACCTATTTCTATCGTTTCAGAGATGTGAGGAATGATCACGTGGGTGATGGTCGGGCTGCTGCTGGCTGCGGAAACTTGCGGCAGAAACGTCCTCTCCGGAAACGGAAACGGAAAGGAGGAGACGAAGCAGAAGGACGGCCTGAAGGGAGTCACCGGCGACGAGGAAGACATTTACCGTAGGTATCGGTGTCGCGACCATGGTAAAAGGACCTATGATTTCCTCGAGTAACTCGGGCTTATCCTCTCGAATCCTGCAATCGAGCTCCCCACTAATCCTTCCATCTTCCTACCACCATTCTAACGATTACAAATCTTACTAGCCACTTTAACTCCTTCTTCCGCGCACCAGCTCCAACAAATCAACCCTTATCATCTAGCATATTGATCGGAAGCTTCGTGCCATCGTTACGATAAATTGTTGCATCAAGAACGCGACAACGTTTCCATCTAATTCTTGGATCGTAATTTTGTTAAGTATTTTAATTCCCAAATGGTAAAGAACGAGTTAATGAACTTAAGAGGAACGCGTTTGGCAGGCAAAGAGTAAACTCGATAACAAAAGTGTTTAAAAGTTTCAGCAAAGTATATCCGCGTTTTTGTTCCGTCCTTCTCATCTTGATCCGGAAGGAAAGTTTACGTTTAGTTATCGCATCGGAAGGAGAAACGTTCGTAACGAATTAAATTCCACAGCAATTTCCGAGCACAAAGACGTCCGGAAGTGTTTCAATTTGAACGTCGAAAGTATTAATTACTTAAGGGTGAACCGAGGGACGGAGGTGGGACAAGTAAGTAAGGGGTGGATGGAATATGTCCACGTGGTTCCGTTTAACGATGCTTTTCAAGGAGAACGCTTTGTCGCGTTATCCGACGGCTGTTATGAGTCTCCATTCGACGGGACAATCTATTTTCCACGGTGTTAAGTATATCGCAGCCGGAATTATATCGAACGAACGGCAGACCGTGTTTAATTGTTAGGTTTCTGTACGCCCTTTGTGCTGGTAGTTGGCAACCGACCCCCTTCTCTTTGCAACGCTATTACTCACTCCAACGCCCTTCTGTTGTTACAGGTCTAACGTGCTACACTTGCGTCAACGTCAGCGATAACCAGGTATCGACGAGTCCATTAAACGCTCTCTTAAGTGTCTGTAATGCCTGTATCGTGCCGGCTCCGGCCGCAATTTCGTTTAGCCCCCGGCAGGAGATCGTTTCACCCTCCATCTTTTTACTCTCACAGCTTATTTTCAAACTTTCTTTCCCTTAACCGCCAATGCTTCCCTAACGATAAGTCGTAGGAAATTTTCAAATTTCCTTTTACGCGTCAACCTTAAAGTTAAAATTGAAATTTCTACTCGGATTATCCCGTTTCTATATTTCTTCCTTTTTTTATGGCTCTCGTTTATCCCGTAAAGGAATTGCCAATATCGGGTCCAATCGCACCGATTCCCTGGCACGACAAATAGCCCGATGCTTTCGTCGGCCAGAATCAATTCTAATCGCGTCTAAATACGCCACTTTCTACGTGGTAAATCTCTATTGAAAATCGTTGATCTCGTTCGAATCGACGAGCAACGTTTTCCCGGTGAATTTATCCGGGGATCGATCTATTTCCGAACGTCCAGAAACTTTGTAAGCAACGATACGATTGTCGCGAGTGTTCGACTGGAAATAACGAGTTTCCATCTACCTTTTACCCGCAGGATTTTCACGAAACTACGTTTCCGGTTTATTCCCTCGATCGGCGACAATCGAGAATCAACAGCTATGCGTTGTTTCCCAATCGACGCGACCGACGTGTATCCCGTTTGCCAAGCTTCCGATTGTAACGCTCCCGATTTCGTCGATACAAGCGATATTTTTCGAGTATCAACACTTTATCGGCTAGCAGATTACTAACAGACTTTTTCACGCTAACGATTATTGAAGTAACAAACCTTTGATCGATAAAAATTCATTTGAAATTTCCTAATCTTTTAAACGCGAATGAAAACTTGATAGCGTTAGCTATTGTACGTGTATGTACAAATGCAGAAAAAAGTCTGACGAATGTAGAAGGAGGTGAACTCATTCAGAGCTGCAATCAGTATTGTACGAGACACGAGAGAATAAACGACGCGTTTTAGCTGAATTTAGGTCACAGATTTTCTACGCCTTATCGTTAGTTGACTGCGGTTGTTTATATAAACGCGTATTTTCACAGATTATAAAATTCGAAATCCTTTCTTCCTTGTTCCGGGGGAAACGAAATAAGCGGCACGATCGTGAGAATTATAGATGCAATTATTTTTCCTACTTTTTGTTCACAGATGTGCAACGAATGGGCGATAGATACACCATGTCCGGCAGGAGGTCGAGACTTCTGCAGATCGCTGCACATTTTAGACAGCCGAGGAAATAGCGTCTTGGCAAGCAAAATTTCTTTTTTTTTTTTTCGTCTCCAAAGTCGACCCTACTTGTCTTCTCTAAGCAATCGAGACGGAAACAGTGACGCGATTAACTTTGTCGTTGCCAAGAAACGTTCGAAATACCGATGGCTCGTTTTGATCGAGTTGGAACGTAAAGTTTGCTTCGTTTGCTTCCTGTGTTCTAACGGGAACACGAGTTTACGTAATCCGAGTAATTTTTCTAATTGAGAAACGTATAAAATGAAAATAAATGATACGTTTTCTCTTACTATCGTGCGAGCTTTCCCGATCCGAAACTAGTGTTAAAGCATCTTCGAATTTCCCTGGTCATAATAACCACGACACGCTTGAACGTTTATTAGCTAAACCGCTACGCGCACCACCGATGAAAATCAATCACTGATTTTATCGCGTTCCGCTAATAGAGCCCCGGTAGCATCGAATGCATTATCGATCCTGGTGTTTGTTAATGGAGAAACTCGCGGAAGCGAATGTACATTCGAAGAGCGACAATGCAGCCGTCCGTTAAGAGCTGCTCGACTAAGCACTTTCCACCAACTCTTTCAATTATGAACATCGGAATCAATTAGAAGCACGTCTTTTCTACTTCGCTTCGAGATCCTCTTTGCTCGTTAATCAATGCTAAGATATCTTGCGTGCATCCATGAGAACGTTCACAGATGACGCGGAAGAGTAATGTTCTCCGAATGAATAATTAGAAAAATCGTTAAATTACACCTACATTCGACGGGCACGAAATCGAGAAAGCATGAATTAAAGACGACGCGACGACGAGACGATCGAATGGTAGCTAACAAGAACCCTGTAATTATTGCAAGATTTAGAGGGAACAATAACGCGTTTGGTAACCGATAACGGATACAGTGTATACGATCGACGAACAAAAGCTGGTTTCTATTTCAGGTGAGCAAAAGCTGTGCGAGTAGCGCGGAATGTGGTCCTGCATCGGTCGGTTGCATCCCGGTGGACACCCAGCAGGTGCGAAATAGCGAATTTTTCCAACTACCTGGCTGGCTCGACTCTCTTTCGCCCTGGCCCGTTAATCGAGCTTAACCATGAGTTCGGTGAAAGAGAGGAGACGGAGAGGAGAAGAGAGGATCGTGGCCACGGGAGCCGGTGAAATAAATTCGGTTATTTCGTTCCAGATCTGCATCAGCTGTTGCGATCTGAGCTATTGCAACATCGAATCGCCGACGAACGCGACGAACGCGATCTTCTCGCGGAAACGTCGCGCCAAGTCGAAATCGAAACGCAAACGACCCGGTAGGAACGGAGTCGAGGGTAGCCGATTCTACGGTAGCGGAGCTTTTTGGCTCTTGGCCTCACTCTTCTATGCATATCATTGCTGAGCAAGCAACAACACCCGGCAACAAAGAAGAAACTAGTTTAGAAACGATGAACCGCGCGACAGCCAGCCCGGCAACTATCTCCATCAAATGCTCCTCTAAAATTCGACGAGTTCCAGTTTGTTGGAAACGCTCACGTTCGTGGAAACTTTCGAAACCGTCTGTGACCCTGTTGAAATCAAACGACAACCTTGTCGACGTTTATCCTAACTCGTCTTCTCGTCTGGATATTTAGTCTCCCTTTTAATCGTTACCTTTCAACGTGTAAACATCCTTCCCGTTTCAAACGTTAGAGAATCCTTCGTGTTACGACACTCGAACATATCTGCCAAGCGATCCTTGCGAATCGCGAGTAGCAGCGTTTTTGCGAATTATTTTCCGAACGGATCGTGTGTACTCTAGCTACGTAAGATAACATTGTTAAGCAAATCTATCCATCTTTACCTTCCGTTTGAAAAACAAGAAAAGAGATCGAAAGAATAAAAGAGTGGAATCCCAGGAGTGGAATTTCGCTGAATCCTGTGCTGTCTGACATAAATATACGGATTACAGTTGACCGAGGAGCCGGCTTTCAAAGTCTCTCAGTGATGGAAAAAAAGGAATTGTTCTCTTTCTCGTCTAGTATCGTAGTTTGCTATGCCTTGTTAGAACTCGGCTCGAGTTTAAAGAAGAAGAAGAAGAAGAAGAAAAAGAAATGGGATTCACGAAACGACGATAGATTTAATCATCGAGTGTTCGCGAGATTTCGGTGCCAAACAAGAGTAGGAAAAAGGATAAAACCCTTTTGTGCATACTAATTTTATAAGAAACATTTCTTTTTTGCGATCAAACTACGAAAGAACAAACGCAACAACAACAACAACAACAAGAAGAACAGAATTGTTTCTGAATTTTAGACTCGCCCTATTGTTTCAGCGGGATTTCGTTTCGCGAAATGTCCAGAAAGAGGCGCACGAGAAAACGAAAACGAAGACGTTTACTGTGTTCCCTGCTGATACATTCAGAATTTCAGTACCTGCCGGAGCAACGATCGATCGTTATCCTCAAGGCACTTGTTAAGCGAACCCGCGAATTCCCTGTACGGCTCGCAAGCAGGCATTTCATCCGACAAATAAAGTAACCTGACTTCCTTTTTTCAACATTCCTTTCCTCCTATATCCCGTACTTTCATTCCGCGAGATTCCCTTCGACTACGTTTGCTCGACGATCGATCAGTAGAATATAGGAACTGTCTCGAGTAATCCGTATTAGATTTGCCGAGCGGAAGAAAATTTTTAATTACCCGATCGATCTCACGAAAATGTTACATTTAGAACGTTATTAAAAATTTATTACATGCCATACATTTCGTTCAACTACCTAAGAACCCGATCGATTTTCCAACAATGTTACATTCAGGAAATTATTGAAAATTTATTAATCAGATTCCTGATTGTGTTCACTGCTGTTCTTTCCAGCTTCGAACACTGTTTCCCAATCAAATTATTAACAATTTTCCAACCACGGTACACCTGGTTTAATTACATTAATACTACATTAATTTTATAATAAACGAGATTGTATCGGTTTTAAAATCAATCTTTCATTTAACCCTTATCGTTCACCGAGAACATTCAATTTTTGTATAAGTAAAGTGTTTCTCGAGAGGAAATGTTGGAGCATAATAGTGAAAGAAGGAGTTTGCCGGCGTACCGTGTTTGGCAAATAGGTATGCAAATCATGAATTATGCGAGCGAGCTGCACGCGGGATTTGAATTATCGATAAACTGGAATTACGCGTACCTAAAAGCTGTTTACATACCTACAGACTCGCCTACTACAAACTACTTATTGCTATTACGATTATTAACAATTATACACATGAATAAATTAACAAACGAACAAATAAATGAATGAATATATATATTATGATATAGAAATTATACATTGTTTCGGCATGAAGAATGTAAGAATACTGTTGGTAATGAAATAAAGAAAACTATACTTGTCACACTATCGTCTGATGATTGTTTCCGTGAATTATTTGTTAAATTGCAATTATTTTATAATTCGAGTTACATTGAAACATGAAAATACTTGACCCTTTGAAAGAATATACCTTGAATTTATAACAAATTCTAAAATGTGTATATTTGCCAATATTCGGTATAAAATATTATTAAAAATGATTTAATGTTGATTTTCACTCACGTTAGTAGATGGCCATCGTTCCTCGTGATGCCTGTGACGTCAGAGTCCTTCCGAACTTCCCGCGCAACTGCCGCCGCCATTTTGTCGTTCCCCCTTTCCAGAAAAGTACGCGTGCCTTCACTAATTTTCAAGTATTGGCAGAAAACGAATTGGAAGCTACTTAAACGGTCTGCTCTTGGTTCAATCCCCGTAAAGCCCGTACTTTTAGGCCACGACACGTACTTATTTTCGTAATTTAACAAGTTTTTATGTAAATAATCAAATAGATCTAGCGCGCATCGCGTTCCCGGCACGGCGATTCCCAAGACGGTCGAGATTTTACAAGAGAACGTTCGTGATACACTTTCCCGAACGAAAACTTTGACTGATTCGCGTTCCGCGTTCGATATAGAAACTGATTCGAGCAATTATTTTCGACAAACGAATAATTATCTCTATAAAATCAACTAATTACGACGGAGCGACGCGGAGACAACTTTTCGAAGCGGCCGTCATGGCGTACACCACGTGACCTCTTCGTTTCCGCCTAAAATCTACTAGGCGGAGCCACTATATCCGGTGCATGCGCATTGTCAAAATCTATATTAAAATGGAGGATAAGAGTCAAGTTGTGGAACGAGAGGCTAAGAAGGATGAGATTTACGAAAAAGATGGGAAATCTAAAAGGTAAGAAAACAAATATTCAATTCGCGAGAAACGTTTGCCATTAAATTACGATTAGCGTAATTAGAAAAAATGTTTGGCTTGGTTCATCCTACGTAGAAACGATGCTCGACCGGCAGTTCAATAGACAATTTTCAAAGTCATTTCTCCATATCTGTTATATAATTATTAATGACAGCATCTTTAAATAAATTTGAAATAATATGAAGTGTCTTATAGTAATAAGTTTTATTATCATAAATTGTTGCGATGCGTTTAAATCATGTTTGTCCGTCTTCGTAACCTAATATACGTCTTGTGATCAAGAGTCTATAGTTTCCCGAATGTTATAATATTGTTAACAAATCATTGTCTGTTTCGTTAATGTCTGTGAATTCTATTATTTTGAAGCATTATCATGAAATATACAATATTTTTATAAAGATTTAAATGTTCCCTATCCCTATCCTTCCTTACCTTTCTAGTTTTTATTTGCATAGATTATGTTGTTTGAATGCGTATAAATGTGCCTTGAGTGTTAATTACTGTTCTTTTACATGATAATAAATGTAAAATACCTTTAATACAGTTCAAAGAAAAGACATCGTAAGAAGAAGAACGAGATGGCGCATACAACTAGCGAAAACCATAATCAATCCGACCATAAAGATAAGCTGGAATTACATGGCACGTGCAATATTTCTATAAAGAGCATACAAAGAGCAATGGAGGTATTTAGTATGCAGCAGAAACCTGCAAAAACTCAAGAAGAGGCTATGCAAAAGCCTTATCAGTTTTGGAGTACACAACCGGTACCAAAAATGGGTAAAGGGTTTAATGTGGCTTATTCAAGATTTGCCGTGACTTGAAGAGCATTAAATTTATCTTATTAATTCTCTATAGATGAAAAGATAGTGAAAAATGAACCTATTGAACCTGATAAAACATCTATAAGAGCAGAACCTTACTCCTTACCAGCAGACTTTCAATGGGATACCTTGAATCTTGATGATCCATTAGTTTTATCCGAATTATATACTTTGTTATCTGAAAATTATGTGGAAGATGATGATGCTATGTTTAGATTTGATTATCCACCAAATTTTCTAAAGTGGTAAATAAAGTAATAGCTATTAGAATAATGAGTTAATTATAAGTGGTAGGTTTTAGTAATATCCTTTTAGGGCACTGCAACCCCCTGGATGGTGCAAAGAATGGCACTGTGGGGTACGGGTCACTAAAAGTGGGCGTCTAGTCGGTTTTATTTCTGCTATTCCTGCTACTCTGCGTGTATACAATCAGTAGGTTTCGGTTTTTTCTCGATAACATGTCACTTCGTATCTAACGTGAACCAAAATTCTAGCTCTCAAAAAATGGTGGAAATAAATTTCTTGTGCGTGCATAAAAAATTGAGATCAAAGAGAGTCGCACCAGTGTTAATACGGGAAATAACTAGGAGAGTTAATCTTCAAGGTATATTTCAGGCTGTTTATACCGCTGGTGTCGTATTGCCAAAACCAATAGCAACGTGCAGGTGTGTAGTTAGATTTACGCTAACACTACCTGTAATTTATGGCGATTTAACCAACCAAATCGTTTCTCTAGGTATTGGCATCGTTCTCTAAATCCAAAGAAACTAATCGAAATAAAGTTCTCTCATTTATCTCGTAATATGACTATGCAGAGAACTTTAAAACTGTATAAACTGCCAGAGAACACAAAAGTACCAGGATTCAGAAAATTGGTGGAAGCAGATATACCAATGGCTCACAAAATATTAACCGACGTAATGACTATTATCAGGATATAATTCTGAAATTGAAAATAGAAAAATATTAAGTTCATTCGTGTTTCAGTACTTGGAAAAATTCGATTTGGCTCCGATGTTTTCGATCGAGGAATTTCGGCACTGGTTCCTTCCACAAAATGGAATCATTAACAGTTTTGTAGTAGAAAAGGATGGTAAAATCACCGATATGGTTAGTTACTACACGTTACCGAGTTCTATAATGCATCACCAGACCCACAAGACGCTCAGGGCTGCGTACAGTTTTTACAACGTGTCCACTGCAACTCCTTGGCTCGAACTTATGACCGATGCTCTGATATCGGCGCGTAATGTAAGTTTCATGTAACATAAGTTGTGTATTATACGAAAGAAACAATTGTATTCCTGACTTTTGTAGCTCGATTTCGACGTATTCAACGCGTTGGATCTTATGGACAACAAGGAATTCTTGGAACCTTTGAAGTTCGGTATAGGTGATGGAAATCTACAATATTATTTGTACAATTGGCGTTGTCCTAGCATGACACCGGGAAAAATTGGTTTGGTGCTCCAGTAGAATTCTAGCTGATCGATTCGTTGTCTAGAAAATCATTTTTCGCACGTGCAAGCTTACAGAGGGATAAAAGTACAAGAGGGAACGGATATTACAAGAATAATGGAGACGAGGGACACTGAAACGGGATCAAATACGACCTCGACGGGTATACAATCCAGGGCATATTCGACGATATTTCCGTACTAAATCAAGCAGAATGTCCCATCGATTCTACCGGTTCCGCGAATGTTACCCTTGTCTCTGTCTCCGCTCATGATCATGATACTAGTTCAGGGTCGAGTTTGGAACATGCATGTGCCGCGCGTGTGTATATACGTATGTGCGTGACTCGAGCAATGTAGATAAATATCGTATGTTAGTAATTTGCAAAAGCCGTGCGAAGGGAAGAAAGATTCCCTTACTGGTATACATCGGTTGCGAAATTATCCAAAGTTTTTCGATAATCCGTTGGACGCTATTTAATTTAACATAAACACTACGTTTCTCTCAGCATCGTTTTGATTAAAATAAGTCGTAGGAAGTATGCCGAAGTGAGAGTGGAAGAGTTGAAATAAAACAAGGTCGAAAAGTAAAGCGTTCCATGTGTTTGTTTACATCCTTCGTTCACCCTACTTGTCAACTCTGTCCATAAATTTCACTTTCTCTTCGTAACGCCTATGTACTCCTGCACAATAAATGATATTATCGTTTAAACGCACCTATATACATATTATACATATATTGTAGCTTTAACGTAAGATTCGACAATTTTTTAATGGTTCTCGTCTTAGCGTCACTTTCCTTTCCGGTACCCTTCGAACGACGCAATTACGTAAGAAGGGGTCCGTTTCCGGCGTCGATTAGATAGCGGTGAGAGACTGAAAAGACAGAGAAAGAAACCAGTTTTTAAGGAGTGTGTCGTTAAGAGAAACGTTTCTGTCCCAAGCTACGACATTAAATGTAAATTTACGATGTTCCGATGTTAACTTTATTGAAATATATCTTTTGCTAACATGCTATTTTACAAGCTGTGTTTCAGATAACTTCGGTTACCGGAAGAGAACGACCTACTCTTCCGTTGTTAAACAGTTTTCAACAAAGATCGAGACTAACATTTTGTAACCGTTGCAAAATCAACGCGCGTCCTTAATATAAGTCGAGGTCTTCGTAGCAGCCGCTGCCAGATCAATATTTAACACACAATGTACGCACGACCGACATGCGAGGTCTCTTCAAGATAAAAGGCGCGAAACGATGGCCCTGTAGCGATTAAAACAGCTGACACTTACACGCCCGTTTAGATACCGCGCCGAATCTCGAGTACACATTTACAATTAATTATTTTATTTATTTAAGGTTGATGGATTCTGCGCGAAACGCTCATGTACGAGCGATTCATGTGGAAACGTTCGACATGAATTGCTCGATAACAGTTTTCTCTCTGATGTACACGTACGAATGGTGACTGTGTAAATGTGAATGAACGATGACTGAAACAGGTATGCGTTTTGAATGTACAATTCAATTATAGCGAATTTTGATTAACTAGCTGCTTAGAGAAGTCGGATAATCAAAATCTCACCTCCCCGAAAAAGCGATTAAAAGTATTTATTTACAATATTGTTTCTTATTTTCTTCTTCTATTTCAAGCTTCGACACATATTTTCCATATGTAAATAGTAGATTATCATACACGCTACACTATCACAATGCGTCATCGTTCTATTCGCTATCTCAAATATTAGTTTTGGTAGTCGAGAAACTGTATAACATTGAACGTTTATTTATTAACCATTTCATTTGATTTTCGAGTGAACATTTCAAGGAGTTACGGATAATTTTAAGTTGAAAACAAAGGTATAAAATTTTTGCATCCATGACCGTAATTGCTTTAAAAGGTAACGAAAACCCCTTGAATGTTTATCCGCTACTATTCGTACGATTCTCACCTTGGTTGTTATCATCTCATTATCTAGACGCGTAAAAAGAAGCTCACGAAAGGCAGTTTACACCCTTGTAAAACTGTTTCGTCCAATCAATCCGACCATTAAGATTAAAGGAATACATTGGTTGTTTTCAGATTCGATAAATTGCTGTGTCGCTACAATAGACACATTAATCACACTCGAATGCAATTATCCAGTAATTACAAATGGAATTGTCATCTAATTGGAACAAAAACCTTACGACGATCTTATCTCCTGAAAAATAGGAACGTGTCCTTCGTTAAACACGTCCATACTTTCCATACTGAACGATTATTTATACGTTACACTTCAATGTTGCAAAACGTGCTAAACCTAACGGAATAAGGATAATTCAGGAATAATAGAAAAGTATGGGCAACCCGCATATACACGAGTATCATCCATAGTATCCTTATATAGCATGATGTCATAACACGGTTAACAAAATGGATAGTCTGCTATTATTTCTAATTACGGCAATTATAAGATGCAGAAATCGTTTGGAACAAGGTTACATTGATCGTCCAATCTTTCAGGATGAATTACAGAAGTTTCATTCAAAACACCGACAGATGGTTCATTGAACAGCTCCTGGAAGAAACGTCGGATAGTAGCTATACCCTCGACGATACTCTACCACCACAGTCTTCAGCTTAGGACGATCCTTGACCAGAGGTGATCTATCGATTTCTCGTTATACATACATCCTGCATCGTCAGGGATTAATTCGATGCCATCTTAGTATCGAGACCGATCTAATCAGCGCGTCGTACCCTTTTTAAACAAGGAAGAAAAAAGCAAAGGGAAAAACGGAAACGAGAAATCACCGAACAATACCCGGAGTCAGATAACAACACGGAGAGGCGACGATGTACGTAGGTGGGGAAGAAGAGACACACGATGTGGAATAAATAGTGGCCTGAAATCGAGCGGAATTCAGTCGCACCGCTGTTCTACCATCGTCGTTCGTGTTTTCTATTCACGAGGAACTGATCATAGGTCATCGCGAAGTGATCTAGTCCTACGGACAGCAGTAAGGATAGGTACTGATCGATAAGCGTACCGGCAAGGTGATACTCCCTGCTCGACTTGCCGTTCGATCGTCAGACTTGCCGGATAGTCGTTCCGCTTCGAACGCTGCGTTCGAATTCATGTTCCTGTCGTCGTAGTCGAAGGATGATGCTGCAAGTGTTGCTCCTGCTGGCTCGGACGCTGCTCGTCGACGCGTTTTTTTTCGGGTACACGTGCATTGTTAATCGTTGAGATGCATTTACATAGAAGCCTTCGAGTAAAACAGAGAATGCCCTTATTCCGAATACATGTCCTGAAAAAAAAAACAGCCATCCGTCGAGCGTTCAAGTTCAGCTCTGAAAAATATCTTATCTAATTCGTGTCATTGGCCCCCGTGATGATTGCCGGTCTGCTAACACCTCGTTTCTATTGTCAGCTTCCTACCGAGCGTCCCGAAAGACGAAGGCAGACAGGAGTTCAACGTTTACTGGAACGTGCCTACCTTTATGTGCCATAAGTACGGGCTGCATTTCGAGGAGGTGTCGGAGAAATATGGGATACGACAGAACACGATGGATCAGTTCCGCGGCGATCAGATCGCGATCCTTTACGATCCTGGAATGTTCCCGGCGTTGATGAAGGATTCGATGGGTAAAACAATACACACGTTCCTTAATATCCTCGACGTATCTCGATGGAGAGAGTTGGAAAGCAGACAACTTTGAACGTTATTCAGGAAACCTAGTGGAGAGAAACGGCGGTGTCCCTCAGGAAGGCAACCTTACCAAGCATCTCGAAGTGTTTCGAGAACATCTGATCAATCAGATCCCCGACGAGTCGTTCAACGGTGTTGGAGTAATCGATTTCGAGAGTTGGAGACCGATCTTCCGGCAGAATTGGGCCTCCCTTCAGCCGTACAAGAAACTCTCCATAGACATCGTACGCCGGGAGCATCCGTTCTGGGACAGTGGTAGCGTGGAGCAGGAAGCGAAACGCAAATTTGAAAAGTACGGGAAACTCTTTATGGAGGAGACTTTGAAAGCTGCAAAGGAAAACCGACCGTCCGCCAGTTGGGGCTACTATGCTTACCCTTATTGCTACAATCTGACACCGAATCAACCTAGTTCGCAGTGCGATAGCACCACGGTGCAGGAGAACGATAAGTACGTACAGAACTGAACTAGAACTAGACTTTCCTCTGAGAACGATTCTTTCTTCCATTTTCGATCGTCGTAACCGATAATTCTATCCGTTTGCGTTTGTCGAGTTAACAGCTTTCAGTTGCGCGCTCCAGTTACCGTGAAAAGTTTCCCCAAGCGATTTAAGGTAACAAGATTACGACCAGTCCTAGCTGTTCAGATTACCACGCTTACGTTTAAGTGGGTCAGTGTCAAGAATCTTGTCACGGTTGAAAATTCAAATCGTCCCAAGTTACATCGGTCTTATCTAATCAGACCCGATAAGCAACCGGTAAGCCAGAATCGTGTCTTCTTCTTTTCCAGGCTGACATGGCTGTTCGAGCTGGAGGATATTCTTCTACCCTCGGTCTACTTGAGACTGAGCCTGACTAACAGTCAAAGAGTTGGACTAGTCGCGGGCAGAGTGAAGGAAGCCATGAGAATAGCGAAGCAAACGACGATCAGGAAAAAGGTTCTTCCCTATTACTGGTACAAGTACCAGGATCAAAGGGATACCTATTTGAATAAGGCAAGTCTTTTCATTTTGAAAACCTTTTTATGGAATCGATAGATCCGCCTCACCTGATAACACCTGGAACTAGCCTTAAAAACCGATTTATCTTTGCAGGCTGATCTCGAGGCCACTTTACGAAAGATCTGGGATCTCGGCGCGGACGGTCTGGTGATTTGGGGAAGCTCTAACGACATCAACAGCAAGCAAAAGTGTCTGCAGTTCAGGGAATACGTGAACAACGATCTGGGACCAGCGGTCGATCGCGTTAGACAAACCGTCACGAACCCAAGCCAGTATAGTAACAATTTTACAGACAATCAAGTGGACGTGAGCGTCGATCAGGTTTGACGGTGATAAAGAAGCTAGGAGAGAGAAATTGTAAAGGGAGATGGTTTAGTTTGTTAGGTGTACGATTACCATACGTGACGTACACGACAGCAGTTGTTCGACCTTCGAAATAGAAAGACGTTGAACGCAAGGTGTGCTACGAAAACCAAAGACTAGTCGAGAACGTTTAAGAGAAATAAATTTCCTATGAAATTGTCGCCTTATTAATTCTTACTTGTCGCGAGATCAGGTGGTGGGACGGTTTTGGCTGAAAGTAGAATAAGATTCGCCTGATGTGGATCGGTACGGGAAGGGAACCGGGATAAACTGGCGATCGGAGAGCTTTGAGGAGGAAGAGTGCGGCGCTTTAGCACTAGCATATACGACAAGTTTTACTGGTTCGAGGTGTAAGGCCTCGGGCGATCTTGCTTTTTACAGAGTACACGCGACGTCGTTGTAGAGGTAGTCAAAGATCTCTCTTGCTTACCGTTCATTCCTCCCCTCTACATCTTGTTCCGTGACTGATCCTTTCTCTTTCTGTTTCCACCTGGATACCTGGATAAACTCGGAGAAGGAGAAAGATAGAGAACGGAACGAGAACGGCGCGGAACCGAACGTACCGAGTAGAAGGAGGAGCTGAAGGAGAACTCTGTGTGGTGGTGGTGGAGGTGGAGCAAGAGGAAGAGAAGGAGGAGGAGGAGGAGGAGGAGGAGAACGGAACACGAGAGATCGGCAGCACAGTTTCGTGTTCAGCTCAGCTCGGTTCAGCTCAGCCTCATATCGGATCTCCGTGTTTCGAGGTAAAAACAGTTCTTCAATTTTCTCGTTGCGGATCTCCTCCGATCCGATAGTCTCGGAACTGGCGAGACCAACAGGAGAGGATCCAGCCGAGTGAGAAAAGCGGTAGGAACGCCGCGTATATCCGTACGTTCTCACTGTTTACTCATCTTTCCACGGCGATTCTAGAGTGGTGCGTAGTTTGCAACGTCGCTGACGTACACGGAGGTGAGTGACAGTTTCTTGAGAAAAGCCAAGGCTGCCAAAGCGAGTTGGTTGCCAGAGTTACCAGACCGTAATACGTATGCCACGCCACCAGAAACTCCATCCAATCGAGATCTATATCCATCAGGTTTTTCTTGCAAACGCAAGTTTTTTCCCTGGTCTTGTTTAAAAATGTCCCGGTAATGATAGGCTCCCCCCGACAAAGTGATGCAGCTGATTTTTCGTCTCTGATCCGTTATGATCTCGGTAAAAAGTTGGCAGATCGTTATCGGAAATTTCATCGTGTCGCGTCACGAAACCCTGAGGACAGTTCCCTTTCCGAGGCTAAAGAAAGTTAACGCCAGCTGAGCAGGTCGCGATGATCACAGGCTTTCCTTGGAAAGTGTGAGAGACCACGGGCAAAGGATAAGGACTGGCAGGCTAAATAGTTCAGAAGCACCCTATCCAAAACGTTTTGCCCACTAATCCTAATACCAGACCCTATTCTCAAGTTAATGATAGCTCTTCTTAGACGCAACAGTTAACTTCCGAGCTAAACTGTTGCGCGGTAGCCAACTCGCCATCGGGCCCACTCTAATGAAGACCTTTTGCCACTGGTCCGACTTGCCACTGCCGGTTAATTGACCAATTCCAAAAATATTCAGCGATCTACCTACTTACGCGGTGGTACCGATTCCATCGAACGTGCCGTTTCTTGATCGATAAATTCGCGAGGGATCGAAGGGGAGAAGAATTTAGACAAGTTGAAGCAATTCTACGAGCAAACAGGATGACACGAAATCGAGTCTATTATTAGACACGTTGCTTCATCTCGTAAATATCGAAATATCATTAACCGGTCTCGTTCTCCGAAGATTGGCTCACGCTTAATTACATCTTATGGCGTTCCTTTTTAAAGCTGTAGGTAGCGAGTTTCGAACCTATACTTCCTAATGTACGAACACCGTCACGCCCTTTCGAGTAGTTAGACTTGAAGAAAATTGATGCCTTAAACTTCTTCTTTGTTTTACGTTCTTCGATTAGAGTGTAGGTGTTGTAATAAAGTAAGAAAAACCGAAGACTCGTAGGGGGGTCTATGTCAATCTACCGCAACAGTCAGGCTATAAAAGCTGGCAAAGTAGCTGTGTCATCTCCCACCGGTATGGTGTCTATGCACCTCAGGTAACGGGTTATCGGTTACCAAAAGGGATCATTAAAAGAACCAAGTACAAATTGCCGGTTCTTTGTGAGAGCAACACCTACCTACCAGATTGAGAAATCAACGTTCGCCTACTTTTCTCGCGATCGCTAAAACATTTTGCAAGCGACGCGCCACGAAAGGAAAACAGAAGAGGAATATGGATCAAAATAGAGAGAGATCTTCTGGATACCTTTTTTCTTCTTTTGACTGAAAACTGGGAAATGAAGAAGGAAAAAGAACGAGAAAGCTGGTAGCGACTAAAGTAGGCTCGAGGAAGACGAAAGGGCCCGTTTTAAAGAGGCGAGCATTAAAAACAACAATGTCATTACATTTTAACGACCTGTTCTTGGACTCTGCCCTTCCTTTTAAGAACGTTCGTTTGCAGGTATGTGGTCCACGTTCTCTCGTGGGGTCCACGACACCGACACACGGTTCTTAAAGCGGTCACACACACGCGATTTGTGTGCAATTCTCATTGGCAAATTCGATATGTTTCTACTGCTCTGAACTTTTTCAATGCACGTCTGTCGAGCCGTGATTTCTGACGTGGTCGGAGGTGAGGGAAAAGCGAACAGAGAGGAGCATGATCGAAAGCGTGGAACGATTAGGAACGGTGTTGAAATTTCGGCGAGCTTAAAATTGCGATCTAATCAAGGAACGAAGAGGGTGCGAAAGCAGCTTAATCCGACACTGGTCGATGCATAAGGCCCCTTCGACTCTCTCGGGCCCCATTCCCCTTCTCGACTCGATCTTTCTCCCCGCACACACTTTGGGCACGCCGTGCAGCTCGCGAAGAATTAGTATGGGCGAAGTAACAAAAGCACGAGGAACAAGCACGAGGGGTGTGCGGCGAGTGGTGGTGAAGTAGGAAGAAAAAAAAGGAGCCGAGATGGCGCCACACGTCCAACGTGTTTTCGGGGCTTCCTCCGGTGCTGTTGGCAAACTTTTTTTTTTCATTCTTATTACTCTTCTTTTGGGTCCGCTTCTTTCTCGCTTCTTCGCCTCTTCGCTTACCTGCTTCCCTCTCGCTTCTGGCGCGTTCTACACCCTACCTCGCCCTCTGTTCTCTTTTATTTTCCTCCCCTTCTGGATCTTCACCCTGCCTAGACCCCTCCGCCCCCCTATTAGTTTGCCCACGGCACCGGTATCGCGAAGAGAAAAAAAGAGGAGCAAAGGACGGTCGCAAAATGCGAAATTGGGCTAGACCAAATCGGAAGATAGGGATTTCTCATTAAAGTTGAAGAACATATTGCGCTATAAAATTATGCGGTAATCGAGCAGCCGCATTCCTTTTCTTCTTCGAAGGGAGAACCCTTCGTCAACGTCGAGACGCGTAACGAAAGATTTCACAGCCGTAAAAAGACCGCGTATCGTTTTTAACCTTCTGTCTATCGGGAGAAAAGGAATTTAGCACGTAATAAGCTTGAACAATGACCTGTACCACCAGTCATTCTTCCAGATATGGTTGCGCCTAAGACCTGTAGCCCGGCGAAGGTGAGCCAGCCGAGCAGTTGCAATTTCTTTCGTATCCCCGTAATCGAAGTTGTACCTGTTCGCCAGTGAAAATATTCCCTCGTTATCCGATCGTCTTCTCTAGCGGCAGTAACATTTTTTCGCGTTGACTAAACGCGTGTCGAAATCGTGGTTCGGCTTCGCTAAACATAATTCTTCTCTCGCCAGAGAAAAGTCCGAATGATATATGAATTTCTATTAGGAGCTTCCTGGAAGCGTGTCACGTCAGCTTTCTCTGTCCCTCTTCGGTAGGTGTTAAGCTCGATAGGACGGGTTTAATCCCGTACTTTTAAAAAGGTCCCGCGGGAAGAGCAGCGCCAAGCAAACGAACAGATTTTGTTCGCGGCACCCTTTGTACTCGTCCGCCTAGGCTCGGGGGCGCGTCAAATTTGCTTGAAAATCAAATTAATCTCGCGGCTGGGCGCAGGACCCCTGTCTTCTCTCTTTCTCCATCGGATGTGCGTTCTCGGTTCCTCGCCTCTGGCCAGCCTGTCTTCGTTCCTCGTTTCTCGACGACACGAGCAAATCGAAGAAACGGGACTGAGAGAGGAAGAGGAAGGTGAAGAAGGAGGTGGACCGAAGATCCTCCACGCCACCGACACGGACCTAGAGGCGAGAAGAGAAGGTGGCGCAGCAACAAAGAGCTTTGGACTTCTGGCTACGACCCACCCAGGGCCGTATTCCTTTCCATCTTTCCTCTTTAACCCTTCCGCTACAGAAACTTTCACGCCAGATCGGCAAATTACGCGTCAACATTGTAAATACTCTTGGCACGATGAAAAGGATTTTTTTTCAAGAATTCACAAACTTCCGCAATTAAAGAAAATATTAACTGAAAGATATTCTAGAAGTGAATTATAAAGGTAGTGGATATTTTGCGACGTTAATCGTGTTGGATAATAAAACGAGAAAGGGATGAGAATTTGTTATCATATTTCTGTGCGTATGAAAACTGAGGATCATAGTACGGAGAGAGATGATGAAGTGGTACTCGTTGGAAGCTGTGAAACTCATCCGGATTAAGTACGTCCCTGTTGTATCCCCTACTCGGTCATTCAAATCTCCGCTCGCAGCAACGAGATGGGCGGCCGAACAGTGTAGCCGCACACCTTTCCCCGTCACCGCGTATAGGGTGATTCAACAAGAATCAGCTAAGAACACTAATTTTCAGACTATCATATGTTTAAGCTAATTTCCGCTACCTGTATCCTCTTATAAGAAAACACTGCCCGATCTCTTAGTTTCTTTCACGCTTGTTTGGACAACGTTGACAAATTAAATATACCATCTTTCGTCGAGTCATCGTGACACGAAGCTATATATTAGCTTCTGGTAAAGTTATCTTTTTAATTTGGAACGCATCCGTTATTTCTTTATCCTAAAGTTGATTGCTTTCACGATAGTTTCGCGCAGCCGCGAGAGACGTGTTGCGAATTTCTTAGAAGTGAGAAATAAGAAACGGAGAATAGAGCAACGCGAGGATAAAGTGGACGAAAATCGCGGAGAGAAAAGATGGGATTCCACGAATGAAGTGGTGGATAAAGGGGAAGCACCAGAGGGAGAATAAGAAAAGGGCTGTGGATTGAAATGCATCGGAGGGGAACGAAAAGTTGATCCTCTGCTGGAAATACCGAGGGCCAATTGTCCTGGGGAAAGAGACGAGATTCTTTCTGTTGTCAGGAATTCAACTCGCGAGTCCAACGACAAAGTGAATTCCTGAAGGACGGAGGATGCGCGAAGGGCTCCTCCTGATGGTTCGCAGTTAAACGGATCGGAGATTTTTCAAGGGACCAAAAAAGGGGCCGAGCTCTGGTAATTGGGCCTGCACATCCTTTTACCTTGTCGTTCGTACCACTTGTTCTCGCTGATCTCCGAAGGATCAAGAAAGATCGTACGATGAGATTGACGCTTTTTTCCACCGCCATCGATCCGACCGGACTATAAATATACCCTTTCGCTTCTTCCCTTATCCTCACCGATGCGGAATTATCGCTTCATTAAAGATTGAACCGTGACAATAAATCAATTTCCCTTGAGTCAATTAACCGTGCCAATCTGCTAAGTCCTTAACTAGTAGTTCTTTTTTCCTGTTGTTATTCGTGTGATCGAAAGTTTCCTCGTTTCCACCGCAACGTGGCCTTAGAAAATTTCGTGTACCGCCGGAAAAAGGTGTACATCTCGTATTCAAGTCTCGTAGCCTAAATCCGACGCTATTTATGGCCGGGACGTCGACGAGAAAGACTCTTCTTTCCCTGTATCCATGTATCCGGTGGGACCGCGGGGAATTTCGTTATCTCGACATCTCGGCGACTGAAAACTCGAGCATCTAGCTTCTCGTCGGATCAGGTAATCGTGGAATCGGTCCTAAACGATTTATGAATGAAGCCGGTCGCGTCGTGTCGCGTCGTCGCCAATAACATCCACGGACCCGGTTCGCTTCTCCTGTTCAGCTCGTGTTCCTCGAAAAAACGGCGTGATTCCAACGGGTTTACGAGCCGTCTATACGCGCGTCGTGGTGTGTAGCTCGCTTTAAACAAAATTCACGCGACGAACGCGAAGAAAAAGGGAAAAGAGAAGAAGCGGTAGCACGACAAATCCCGGTGACGTAATTTCAGACGGTCGTCGAACCTGAGACCTCGAGAGCCGGGACTTTCATTCATTCTGGGTGGGGACCAGAGAATACGAGGTGCACACGTGCACACGATACACGCAGCGCACCTTGAATTGCAATCGCGAAATTCTTTCGCTCGATATCCGATCGTTTATCTTTCGCTGCGATAGATAGTCAGCTAGAAAGTTTGCAATAGGGAGATAAGTAGAGTTGCTTTCTTTCCGTAGATTACAGAGGCCCGACTTTTCTCACCTTGCAATTATTTCAGCCAGACGCCCAATCAGTCGAAAAGATTTGGATACCCTGTCTCTCCTCCTATTGTTTCAGGGATCATGGGATCAAGATGTCAGCTGACTTTGGCGATCGTTCTGTTTCTTCAGTCGACTCTGCTGCATGCCCATCGTGAACACAAGGTTTTGGAATCTGTTCACTGTTGATCAGTTCGTTACTTGGACAAACTTACGTTGATCGTTATCGTTTTAAGGTGCACAACATCGTGCTGTATCCGGATAAGCACAGCTGGTGCAAGACGACCCCCATCAAACAGGTGGTTACCTGGCCGCAATGTTCTTCGCAGGAATTGGACAACAACGTGTGCGTCGGTGCTTGCTTCTCGTACATGGTCCCCCATAGCGAACCCTCCGCTCCTGGCGACCTGATAAGACCCTATTGCGACTCTTGCCAACCTTTAGACAGCGTCTGGCACACGGTAAGTTAGCGAACAGGTGACTCGAACCGCTGGGAACGTCTTATCGTTGCTAACTATCTTGCCAAATACGTTTCAGGTTATCCTGAATTGCAAGGACGAGGAGAATAATCCTATAACGATGCAGAAGAAGGTTCAGATCATCACCAATTGTTCCTGTAGCTCCTGCATGGAAACCTCCAAGATCAAACCGGATTACAATACCTTGCTTCAATCGTTAACCGAGGAAAATCTAGATAAAAACGTGAATATCGTTCACGAAACACCAGATTTGTTATTAAACCCGAATTTGAACGCTTCGAAGAACTCGACCGGGGACGGTGTCCAAGCCAACGAGAGATTCTTGCAGTTGTTCAAACAGCTGAAGGATTCGGAAAAGTTGGACGAGTCTGGCGCCAAGGAGCTATTCTCAAAGTTCGAGGAAGACGTGGATCTGACCAAGTTGAGGGAGCTACTGAAGAAGTACAGTCAGGAGGAGGAGAAAGAACACTCGCACCAACACCAGCATCAACATCAGCATCAGTCATCGGGAAAACAACAGCAACAACCGCCGCAATTGCAGCAGCAGCAGCAACAACAGCATCATTCGACGACGACGATGCTTCATCGAGGACCCCATCACTCGATGGTCTTAGACTCGGACGTTAAGGAGAAGATCGATGTGGAGCCCCATTATCTGCATCCGGCTGTCGCTGGCCAGGAAATCAGCTACCACGACAATGTGCTCGTGGACAAGGATAAGAAGAAGGATTTCTGAAGCAAAGAAATCGCATGATTAGTTGACTTTTTAATCGTCAGACAGATCAAAAAGTTCGGGATCGTTTCTTTTTTTCTGTTTCGTTGAGAATCATTCACATCTGCCTAGTCCAATCAGCAATAAATTACTTGATTCGTTGTAAATAGACCAGAATCTTCGTTTTTTCTTTTTATTTTATTTTATTTTATTTTTTTTTTATAGAATAAATAACGTCATACATAATTATCGCGGAGATATCACGTTCGAAAATGCCTTAAAACAAAAGGATTGCCTTCCAAGGCTGATTTCCTGATCGTCGTTGAAAATGAGATGCGGAGTGGATGAAAGAAAGAAGAAGAGAGAGAGAGAGAGAACGCGAGAGAAAGAGAAATTCTAATATATATTTAATTATTATTATTATTATTATATTAACTATTTAACACGCTCGAGCGCTTAATAAAGAAATCTACGTCTGTTTAAAATTACTTCTTAACTAGCACAACTGACAAATCATTGTAAACGTCTAAAGACGTTTTATTTTGTTGACTGCTTTTTAAAGTTATACATTGTATCCAGTGTCTCACAGAGAATAAACAAAGAGTCAGCGAAGATGCCATCCCGGTAAATCCTCGTTCATTTTCCTTAATTGGAAACAAATACTTCACTAACCACTGACACTTTTTTCCAAAAGCAGACTCGGATAGAAACGTAGAAACACGACGAAAGAAGAAGAGCAAAGAGAAGGGAAGGTTGAAATACCGCATGGTGCGTCGACATTCGTCAGGCATCCAAGAGGCGACTTGGCAAGTCGTGTCATAGGTGTACCAGTTGGAATGCAAATAAAGCAATTAAGAGCACGGTGAACGTCCGATTGGCAAAAGTGAAAACAGAAGAAAACGATGATGAATGAAAAAAGACAGGTAGCGCAAGGTAGCTATACTTTCTCTTCTAACAAAATTGAAACGCACACTTCTTTTGGCTAAATCGAGAAACATTTTTTTTTTTATCAGATCAGCCAAAAAGCTGTGACAACGTGTAGCTGCTGCGACCGAGTTGTTGGTGGTAGCGTTGCCTGAAATCGGTAGATCGTTCGATAAACGAGGCTGATGGCTGGCCGTGGATGATCGGTTCTAAGGGAAAAATGTTCACTGATAAGAAGCGGTTTTCGACCAATCAGCGTGTCAGATAGAAGCGGATCGCCGGTACCAGAGCGATTACGTGGGTCGGTAACGGCGCGTGTAACTCGCGTATGGATCGACAGTGTTGCTCGACGCTCCGTTGCGCGTCCCTGTTGATTTTCCGCGCGGTCGCGTAGCGTTTTCCTCGACAGCGCAGCCGCGCGTGCCACCGAGACGAAAACCGACACGAAAACGGCCCCGAAATAGAGAAAAAAACCATAACTATGTTCCCTTAATTTCGTTCACCTCGAATCTGGAACAATCCCACGGTCCCACGGTGACACGCGATGATCGGCAAACCCCTGGTGTTCGATTACTCCTAAATGCCCACCTGTCCAACAACCATCATCCTCGTCGTGGTCGTCGAAATAGCAACGGGAAAATACAACGATTTCGAGCCGAGGATACCATACGCCATACACCATGAACGGTAGGCTTCTGTTGTTTGAAAGTTCTGATCAAAGGTAGATATTTTCTTTGGTAGAAAAGAATTTCAGGCAACTTCGAAGCTTTCGCTTCGTTCCGAAATTTCGGAAATAAAATGAAATCGGATCAGTTTATTGAACACAAGGATCAATGACTCCCGTTCGTAGACAGAAACGAGCATTCTGTTTACGAATGGCTGATTCCACGTTCAAAAGTGACAGTGAAACTTTCTTCTGCGCCAACCGGCAACCAGTCTTCGATTGCTCAACATCCAGGCCAAATGCAAGTTGTTGCAAAGAAATTAAAACGATTTGATAATTCTTTTGAGATCAATCTGGCTAGGTGTAAATTGTTGTAGGTACGCGTCGTGAAACGCATTCATCAAGTTCCAACCACCTGTTGGAATAACCAGAAAACTTACCATTTATGGTCATCGCGGAAGTAACGTGACGGATAAAGATTACACTCGTGGTGCTATCAACTATATTACAGAGATTTCAATTTTTGTTCACCTATTTTTTCATATTTCTAAATATATAAATAGCAATAGCGGAGTAACATTCTGATTACAGTTCAAAGTTTCCAGTCAAAGCCTGAAGATACCATGAATCATTGTTTTTGTTTACGAAAATAGTTGATGGATAGGAACTACGTTTTGCAAGATATTACATAAAGCACATTTACAAGTAGGAACACCTTTGATTAGACGTTCGTAGTTTATAGCTTTGTCAGCGTGTTATAATACCTGCTTGTTTTGACAGCAATAAATTTCCCGTCGACATTTGCCCGTTGTTCGTCGTATCAATATACTATGAAACTTTCTTGTTGTTGAATTAACCTTTAATATTAGAATACGTTAGCTAACGTTAGCCAACGTCTTGAAGCAGGAAGTTTAACGAGGCTCTCTGATTGAGAATTACCCTTTAACAGCTGCCAATCGGGCACTCCACCGTGTAATTGACAAATCTGAGCTCTCATTTGGCAGCAGCTGCCAGTTTTAAAGCAAGGCGATGACTGGTCGCTTTCGGTGAGTTCAGAGTTCTATCATTTCTACGCGAGTTCTATTTTCTTCGAAGCGAATCACGTAGCCAAAAATGATTCCACGAATGAAATTCCTTTCGAAACGATTTCAATTGATTCAATGATCAAACCTTTTAACAGACGAATTTATCTCGCAACTTCGTCTTCGATTAAAATGTTTTAACGCAGCAATTAAAGAAGAATAATATTATTGTTAGTGTTCGATCACTCTTTATCAACAGCAGTGGCGATCAGCATAAAATACAGTACTAGAAGTGCTGCGCGTCTGATCCTTTCAATCCGTAACTACTTGCTACTGTGAAAATGGAATTAAACAAAGATCTTATCTACAGAAACCTGCAAATACATAACTGTGCTCAAAATGACACGCTCTGATTATAACGTACCTGTGCATTATCTTTTCACAGAATTGTTGGAACGATGTTAATAGATATTGTCGAATTAATCCAAAATAAATAGGGAATGACCTCATTATCTGGAGATCTAAATAGATCGTCTGCTCGTGGAATAACAACTTCATTTCTCGACAGATTAAGTACCTTATCTTTCGTGGACGTAATTAAAATGGCGCCGCGGTTCTCGTATCTGGCTTCATCGAATCGACAATATTTCAGTCAATCGACTAGTTGATTTCGATGGAGCTTTACGTATATACAACGAGCACGTGGAGTTTTAGTCAAGATAACCCCGAAGATTACTTATTGCAATCGACCGTCATTCAAAAATCAAGTACTTTTCCTTTCAGTCTACAAAGGTTGATACGTCGAGAAAAACAATGAAACAGGATACTCTTGTCTAGATAGAACCGAATCATTTGTTAGCAGTGAACCGATTTGTCGAATGCTGCTTCGTTTCCAATTATTGGAACTAAGTGAAGTGCTGTGTCTTCGTTATAATGTCAATTTTAATTGATAATGGATGAAATCATTAAACGTGAATTGACATTAACGCTTGATCTGTCGTTTGCAGACGAAGGAGGTATGTAATATGTCATCTTCTTCTTCTTCTTCTTCTTCTGCTTCTTCTGGAAACCGAAAATTTTGCACTTCGAGGATCGTCGTAAATAACTTGACTAATAATTCTTCGCCGAAAACGTTGATGACTCCGTGGAAATTTCGGCCTCGTCAAGAACGAGTCACTGGATTATTATAGACTTGAAAAGTTCAAACAGCTTGGCGAAGAAGCGCGCGCGTTGTAGATGGAGGAAGCGAGATGAATTAAGCGACTGTAACCAGAAGATGAGACGATTTTCATCGAATTTTGTCAACCATCCTCTGCCTGCACGAAAATAGCACGGAGGTCGAGGCGTGTTTTTCTTACACAATACCCATTTCAATTTCTCGAAACAGAATCTCGACGGATCGATTCGAGCGCGTTAAACAATGAGAAAGATTGATTGCTTTCTTTTTTAATAACGTTTATCCTTGGATCCAGATTCATCGAGAGTATTTCATATTACTAGTTCAAGTTCACTTGGCTTGTTCTAATGTTAAAAAAAGTTCGTTAGAATATGGAACAATTATTGGTGAATTACAAAACGCTAAGTTTCGCTTCAACCCCGACCTATTCGAGTCGCACTCATCACTAGCTGCAATACTGTGACATTGAATTAGTGAAAGATAACACCCAATCTCATTTAAATCATTTATTTAAAGTTCTTATCATTATTTTTCAATTATTCGTAACACCTTTATGATCTATTCTCGTGATAATCAGGGTGTTTATATTAAACGAGTTCGATCGAATTTTTAATTATGAAATTGTAACTCGTATCAACCCTATTGAACTTGTTACCTGTTTTTTAAACATCTTAAGATCCAGAGTACGATCGATAAGCCGATGATCGATCGAACGCTCGCTTGATTTTGTCATGTTTCATCAGAGGTCTTTGCCGTGAAACGTGTCCGATAATTGAATCGGCAAAATCGTACAACGATAACATTTCTAGAGGATTTTATTTGATCAATAAAATCGCGAATTGATCACGTGAATCGTGATCAGATAACCGGCTACGTGTGTAGTAAACAAAAGCGCGTATCAATTAACCGGAAGTGTAGCAATTTTTCAAGAATAAGCAATGACGCAAGGTGTACGAGGAACGGTACATCCTCGATATCCAAGAAACGAGCGTTGTCACTTACGCAATTGACAATATTCACCTTATATAAGTATTTATTATCTCCAAGTGTAATTAAGACTTTGGCAACGATTCATTGACGAAAGACGAAAAATTTCCATTTGAAAAACAGCACGATGTCCAACGTGATAAGGAACATTAAAGAAAAACAGTGAGAAACCATCTCTCAAGGTTAGATTGCAAAACCAGTCGCTTCTTTTCCCTGTTTGTCACGGAAAACATGATTGGAACGAGAAGAAAATAGGTTTCGTGTACATGAAATATCGAAAACTGATTGTATTCGATTAACGACGTGTCGTCTGGTCATTAACGATGTCAATAATGTTAGAGCGTGTCTAATGATCGTGAGTTACAATCTGACCTGTGCTTGACACGTGGTGTCATTATTAGACTGTCTTTTAACTCGAACAAATGGAATGTTAGAGGATTTATGTCCAGCAAAACCAGTATTTCGTATCATTGCGTAAATATGCTTAACTGAAAGGCTACCCTCGCAAGCGAAATCAATGCGTCACCGATTTTACCGGGAAACGGTGAAATATGTACTAAACAAATTATTAATAAAACTTTCGGATGCGAAATCCGATTACCGATTCTTAAAACTGTTTCTCTATACTCCGATTGCCAAAAAGCATAAATTCTCGTTAAGCCGAGATGTAAAAGGGCGCGCGAGCGGCGTGTTTGCCTGGAAGGGTTTCAAATCGGAGTTACATGGAAGAAGCTAAGCAAAAGAAAGACAGAAGCCGACCAGCTGTGATGGAGTTAGGTGTGAACGTTTCAGACGGTCGGCACGTGCTGGGCAAAGAGAAAAGTTAGCTGAAATGGAGTATCGACCAAGAGGCTCTCGGACTCGTTCAATACTCCGATGGCCAATTGGAGGAACAGAGACAGCTCTGAAGAGGGACAGAGACAGAAGCATAGGGTTCACAAGGCGGGCAGAAGCGTTCAAACCGTTCGATTCTGCCTGCCTTTTCAAGCAACAGTCCCTGAACAGGTGCTAGGTACTTATCGATGGGACACCATGAAAACAACCGTAGGAGTTTGGAGTAACCGGCAATTAACAGGGCCGTACTTGGTGCCACGGAGGATTTAGTGGAAATAAATGAGTCAAAGCGGCGACGACGTCGTCGTAGGTCGAGGCATAACCCAATGGTAGGGATATCTCAGGCATGAAACCAGCGAATCTAGTGCCACCACGTAAAAATTTTTCAAGCTGTTTCAAATATTCCTAACGACCTCGATCAAAATTGAACGATCCGATTTGAAATAAAAAGAAAGCTAATGTTTATCAGAATGAAATATCCGGCGGTCTAGTGATTCGTGACGCAAGAAAGAACATGAAAATCGTTCAAAGTTCATCGTTGACACGTGTGTCGCGAAAGTTCGCATGGTGATCAGCAGGCGCGCGCAAAGACCGAACTATGCCTTTTAAACTGATGACGAAACGTTGACAGAGCGTAATTCGAATCGGTGTCGTTATCGCAGCGTCAGATAACGAGAGCAACGCGTAGCGGCGCCGCGACGCGACGCGACGCGACGCGACGTCTAGGTACCTGAAGAGCAGGAAAAGAAAAAACGGATACGGCCCTGAACGCCGGGACATGGAAGCTAGCAGAGCGCAAGTCTTCTGCTAATGCCAAACGATTCCCTTAATACACTTGCGTCTGGAATCTCGTTGTAATTGGGGCGAACGGTTTGTGCCAGCTGTCGCGTACTTGTCAGAGTGCTTCGTAACGATCCAACTAACCGGATCGAACGTGAAACATCATCGGTGCGATCGTGTTTAGCAGGAGAAAAAAAGAATCGACAAGGAGAAGTTAGCTAGCGGAGAGGAGCGTGCGATTCGGAGCGCAACACCGAAAGCAGCAGAACACGACTGGGTTTGGTCGCCATCTTAGATCCATCACGAGCACGTTGCGGGAAGGCGGTATAAAGAATTCCGTGGAATCCGTGTTGCTACCGAGGAGGAAAGTCCGAAGGAATGCGAGCAGGAAAAGTGTCATTTTTCCTCGAACGCGAACGCGAACGCTTATAAAGCAACAACGGTGCATGTCGACGCTGGATTACGCGGTGGGTGCTGTGAGAGAAAAAACTGGTCGGCCCTTGTTTTTAAGGGTGCCGCAGATACATGAAACGCAAGTGAAACGATCGTGTGCAAAGTGACTTTTTTGGAGGAGAGAGATTTTTTTTTTCTTTTCTGTTTCCTAATTTAACCAGCTGGCCTCTAGCCATCGCGAAACTGTCCAACAGACGGAACGATCCTAACGAGCTCTTTCATTATGAGCAAGATGCTAGGAACAAACTATTGCACCGTCTTTTCTGTACTTAGAAGTCCCGAAGAGGGTGAATCGTTTAAGCGGATCATCTGAAAGAATTGATCGTAGAGATACTTTGGTCAACCGCGAGGACGATTGTCAAGGATTAATCGACCCTAATCACGAATAACGCTGGAGATACCAGTGTAATCTTATTTGCCAGCGAAGGAAAAGAACTCGCGAGCAATCGTGCGATCATCTTCGAAAAAAGAACTTGAACGTTGACGTAATCCATTATTTATAGTTGGTGAAAAATCGCGAATATCGTGTGGTGAATTTCGGTGCGGTACTTAGACACCAGGTATTAATAGACAAAACTGATCAATTTTTCTTCAACGCAGCCGTGACGTTCGTGTTACTTAAGAACAGAAAAAAAAAAAACCGATAAAATCTATCTTTTTTTCAATAAGTGACTTTTCGAATTAGTACTTCGATATTTGATCGGGGCAAGTGATTTTTCCGAAGACTATCGGCAACAACGCGATCGAAGGATCATTCGTCGACTCGATCGCGTTCAACCGATAATACAGATCTCTGTCGATCGCGAAAGAATTCGCGATCATCCATCCAGCGGGCTCAGCAGCGGGCTATCGAGTTTCTTCTGCCGATCGAAGTATCCGACGGCATTCAAAATAACTTTATAACCCGTAATGTATTTGAGATCGTACAAAGAGGCAGAAAAAGGGAGGCACGAGAATACAAGAGAGTCGATCGAAGTTGACTTCGCGGCCAGAGGCGGAAGCGACGTTGGAGCAACCGCGAGAAGCAAAGTGAAGACGGAGAAGTGTCCGGTGGGCTGCTGGGATTTCGAAGAAGCTCAGCCGCTTCGTCCGACCAGATCGTCCGGCAGAGTTTCGAAACAGGCTTGCTTACGTCGCGGTATGAGCAAAGGTGAACGAGCAGTGACCACGCCACGAATTGGATGGCGAAAGCTCACCGATCCTGGCGACTGACACGAATCTAGAAAATCGGGGGCAGGTCCGAAACGATAGCATCAGCTACTACACGCTTATCATTCTAATCGTCCTACTCCTGCCGTTCATCGCTCATCCTTGCTCTCGTCGAAAGCTTTTCGATCCTCGAGCTCCTCGAGAATAGCCGAATCGTCGATCCTCTATGCCAGCCAAATGCAACAGAACGCTACCGCCAAGTCTAACTCGAGAACTTTGAAGACGGACCCAAAAATGGCGGGCAATCGGTGTCGGTAGCAGACGGGGTTATTACCTAAAATAACAAAATCACCTCGTCCTGCACTCTGCACTCCGCACTCCATACACCGCACTCTTCCTATACGGCATACGGGATTCATCGCTGAACCATTTCATTTGGTGGTCTCAGTTACGTTCCCGTATTTCTCTCTTGTAACACGAGTGTTCCTCCATCCCCCTTGATCCCCCTTCCCTTTATCAAACCAAAACCTCGACGAACTTTGGTGTCGTTTTTAATTGCTCGTCGAGACGAACGACGAAAGGGTCCCGATCGAGTGACCCATAGACAATAACTTGCGTAGCTGGATAAAGAGTAGTAGTGAGATAACATGTAGTAGTGAGACGAACAACGGATCAATTATTAAGAAGAAGGACAAGAAAGGTGGGAAAAAAAGGGGTGAAGAACTGCCGCTATCGTGATATCAAGAAGATAACGGTATCCTGCGATCGATCTCCTTGCGAGACTACATTTTTCGCCAATTGTAGCTAATTTTAAACTAAAGAGAAAAGAAAAAAAAGTAAAATAATATTTATCCAAGAATCTGGTCCCCATTTGCCCCGCAATCGTCATGCCGCCCACGCCGAGCAAGCTGAACCTGAGCTTCGCCAGAAACGCGTACAGCGTGTTTGGAACACGCGCTACCAATACCACTGCTGATCATCAGCGCGAACAGAAAACGGAACTTTTGGAGGGTAAGAAGAGACACGATTTCGTTCCTGCTGTCGCGATTGATCATTTGGCGAACATTCAATTCTCGCTGCACGCGTCGCCCTTCGCGAACGAAATCGTCTTACAAAAATACATGTATCTTCTCACGCACGTGTTTCGATCTGATTGCAAAACACCTCGATAACGTCACACGCCCGTCATCGTTGATCAGATTAATTTTCATCGAATCGTCGTTTGATTTCAGGTACCAGAGGTAACGGAATTCATCTGAAAAATGGCATCGACTATGTCAACCCTGGCGAAGAAGATCAGATGGAAATCTATGGGTAAATCATTTTCGCTATCCAAAAATAGCCCTGTCGAAAGGATACTCAAAATTCATTCACGGTTTCAGCTATAAGAGAAACAAGATCTTCACCGTTGTTACCTGGTTCTTGATCGTCATCACCGGAGGACTTCTTAGGTTGGTCTTTCACTGGGTACCGCACTTGATGCTGTTGGCAACTCATTCCAAGTGTCAATTAGAAGATGCAGACAGAGTCTTGCTGGTGGAGAAGTTTCAAGGAAAACACACGAGTTACTATGTGAAGAAATTAAAGACCTTAGCTGCCCAGGATGTAGTGTAAGTATCGCATCTTCTCGTTAATTATAACAATGAACGTCGTCAATTTATCGCGTCGATTTGTTTAAAGTAACAAGCCATTTGACGGAGAATCATTAATGGATAACGAACCCTGGGTGGAAAACGGCAGCATGATAACCATCAAGGAAGTGAAGGAAGAATACCCAACGCTGTCTTTGCATTTACTCGGCGGTCAATTCAAACGTAAAGATTTATCAATTTTTTAAATGATCTTAATTACCTAATAGTATATGATCGATGATCGTCTGTTTTTTACAGAGGTTCCATCTATCGTTCTTTTTCATTGTAAAAAGTTAACTTACGTTTGGGACCACGAAAGATCAGAATTTCTGAAGCTTCGCGGTCTAGATGTTGGCGTTTTAACTTCGACGTTGCATCAAATGCAAGGACTGAACTATCACGAGCAGCACATGAGGTAGATTCCTTTAACAACCATTGTTTCCTGTTCGTTATTATAATTAATCTTACAAACGATCTTCATTTTTCTTCGAATAAATTAGACGCAACGTTTACGGAAACAACGAGATCGTGATTCCAGTGAAGAGTATCTTAACGCTCCTTTGTCTGGAGGTTCTCAATCCATTCTATGTCTTCCAACTGTTCAGTTTTTGCCTCTGGGTTGCCGACAATTATTACTACTACGCCATGGTCATTTTATCAATGTCCAGTGTCGGTATAATTATGGCAGTCTTCCAGACTCGACGGGTATGCGTTCTTTTTCATATTTACGTGTCTCTGGTTGCCCATAAAGACGACATCGATCAAAATGAATTCTTTTCCACAGAACCAACACAATTTACGATCCACCGTTCACTCGTCTGACGTGGCGACTGTGATGAGAGATAGAATGACCGGACAAACTGCAACTGTGCCCGCTGAACGATTGGTACCCGGTGATATTTTAGTTATTCCATCTCATGGTTGTCTGATGCCGTGCGACGCTGTGCTTCTCACAGGAAATTGTATCCTGAACGAGTCTATGCTTACGGGGGAATCGGTTCCCGTCACCAAAACTCCTATACCTTCGTCCAGCGAGATAATCTACGATACCAAGGAGCACGCGAGGCATACTCTGTTCTGCGGTACTCGTGTCATTCAGACCAGATACTATGGATCCGAAAAGGTAACGTTGCTGGTACATCTCCTTTCAACAGAATCAATAATGTAGAAATCCTTACGTTATCCTTACGTTTCTTCGACTATTACGTACAGGTTTTGGCGGTCGTTATCCGGACAGGGTTCAACACGAGCAAGGGTGGCCTGGTGAGGTCCATCATGTACCCTCCACCGGTTGATTTCAAGTTCGAACAAGATTCCTACAAGTTTGTCGTTCTATTGGCTGGAATCGCGAGCATCGGCGTGATCTACACCATCGTGACAAAGATCATGAGAGGTGTGCAAAGCAGTCACATCGCTTTGGAAGCTTTAGACTTGATCACGATCGTTGTACCTCCGGCTCTACCAGCGGCTATGACCGTTGGTCGTCTGGTGGCGCAACGTAGATTAGAGAAGAACAAGATTTATTGCACCAGCCCAAGGACTATAAACGTGTCGGGATCGATCGATTGCATTTGCTTCGACAAAACTGGAACACTGACCGAGGACGGACTGGATATGTGGGGCGTGGTGCCCGCTGTCGACAACAAGTTTCAGTTGCCTATCAAAGAGATCATCTCCCTGCCTTTGAATGATCTTCTCATTGGAATGGTCACGTGTCACGGGATCACTATAATCGATAATCAGCTGGTAGGTGACCCGCTCGATCTGAAAATGTTCGAGTCCACCGGCTGGACATTGGAGGAGCCCGATGTATCCGACACGTCCAAGTTCTCCATGCTTTTTCCCACCGTCGTTCGACCGCCGAAGAGTTCGAAACTGCTGAAGAAACTGTCGAACGATATAAGGATCTCTATCAGCCGACAAAACTCGATTACATCCGAGGTGGTGGACAACGTTTCGTTGAATAATCTTGATTCCGCGTTGGCTGATTCCACTACGGAATTGGGCGAGCAAGGATTAGAAATTGGAATCGTGCGACAATTTCCGTTCACCTCGAGCCTTCAACGGATGAGCGTGATCACGAGGACATTGGGCGCGAATCATTACGATCTTTATTGCAAAGGTAGCCCGGAAATGATCCTGAGCCTTTCCAAAGCCGAATCGATTCCAGCTGACTTTGGCGCGGTCTTGCAAGAGTACACGTCGGAAGGATATCGCGTGATTGCGATGGCGCACAAAACTTTGAATCGTCTTCCTTACGCGAAAGTTCAAAGATTGAGCCGCGAGGCCGCCGAATCCGATTTGATCTTCTTGGCGTTCGTCATCATGGAGAACAGATTGAAACCAGAAACCATGCCAGTCATCAGTGCTTTAAACACTGCCTGTATTAAAACCGTGATGGTCACTGGTGACAACATGTTGACAGCTCTGTCAGTTGCCAGAGACTGCGACATAGTGAAGCCAGGAACACCGGTAATCGCGGTCTCGGCTACTCAACAGAATCAAGTGAAGCCACAGATATATTTCACGAAGAGCAACAGTCAACCGTCGCCAATTTCACCGATGGGTCACGGGGATCTTAGCGAAATGACTGATTTGAATAGCATAGCTAGCTTGGACACGGTCGAAAGTGGCTCTTTCGGGAACAATCAGTTCGAAAACGATGTCAATTATTTATCCGACGAGTAAGTATCTTTCTTTGTACGCATAGTAGACGAGATAGTAGGTATATAGAATGTTTCTTTTCTAGCTTACAACACTCGAAAAACAAGTACGTGTTTGCACTCACTGGTAAAACGTGGGCACTGATCAAACATTACTACCCAGAACTGATTCCCAAACTTGTCACACGTGGTGCAATTTTTGCGCGAATGTCGCCAGACCAGAAGCAACAGCTTGTTCAGGAATTGCAATCTTTAGGATACTATGTTGGTAAGAGTTTGACCATATAACGATTGGCGTAAATAAATAGCCATCACGATACTGATTTAAAATTCTTTTCTCTTTTTCTCTTTTTTCCAGCCATGGTGGGTGACGGTGCAAACGATTGCGGAGCTTTGAAGGCTGCTCACACAGGAATTTCTCTGTCGGACACCGAATCATCCGTAGCTTCACCCTTTACCAGTCGCGAAACCAACGTCTCCTGCGTTTTGACCGTCATTCGGGAAGGTCGCGCTGCTCTGGTTACCTCTTTCGGCATTTTCAAGTATATGGCTACTTATTCGCTTACTCAGTTCATATCCGTGATGTTGTTGTACAGTATCGAGTCTAACTTAACGGACATCGAGTTTCTGTACATCGATCTCTTCATCATCTCTATCTTCGCTTTCTTCTTCGGTCGTACCGAAGCGTACGATGGTCCGTTGGTTAAAACAGCACCTCTGAACAGTTTGATCAGTACCACCCCGGTCCTCAGCCTCGTAACACAGATTCTGATCGTGGCTGTGTTTCAGTACGCCAGTATTTGGCATCTTCAACAAATGGATTGGTTCGTTCCGTTCAACGCGACGATCAAAGCGATCGAGAATAAGGACGACGTTGGTTGTACAGAAAACTATACGGTTTTCATTATCAGTTCGATGCAGTACATTATTTTAGCGGTGACGTTCTCGAAAGGACATCCGTATAGAAAATCCTTGTTCACGAATTACGGTCTGTTAACTTCGTTCATTTTCTTGAGCCTCTTCTCGGTCTACCTCGCCACGTTTCCCTTCGAATGGCTGACCGATTGGTTCGAGCTCGTGCTTCCCGAGAGCATCAGTTTCCGTTTCATACTGGTCGGCTACGGCATCGTGAATCTAGTGATCTCGTTGCTGATGGAATACGTTTTCGTCGACTACCTCGTTTTTAGCAAGTTACGTTACCGCTGGCACAACGTTGACAAATCGAGAAGAAAATTTCTCGCTTACGAACGCGATATGGCTCGTGACTTAAAATGGCCAATGATCTCCCAGGAACCTTTGCCAGAAGCGACACCGGATATTCTGATCCGTCAGAACGTTACCGAAATCAAGATCGAGAAACGCGTGCCCGATCCCTGTCACCCGGTCGACACCAGTTTCATGAACAGTCCCGTATGCCCTGGTTTTAAACAGTTTGGCTCGGCCAGGGAAGTTACCTTGAATCCTAGATCCCTGTTCAACGATCGCAGGAACACCGTGTCCATGCAAACGGTGCCCTGTTTCGAGGACAAGGACTCCGTGACGAAGCAGCCAAAATTGGAACTAACGGCGAAGAGGAGGCACAATTCCGAGTCGGAAAACGGGATAAATCGGTACGAGAAACCGTTCAAGAGCCACAGCACCAATCCGATCGCAACGTTGCCTAGAAACACGGCCATGGCTCTTCAACCGCAAAAATTGAGGGATTTTAAGAACGCGTTGACTCATAAAAGCGAAGACCGATTGTCTCCTAGCACGCAAAGCGTCCTCGAACTCGACATACTTCCGTCGTAGAAGAGAATCCTAGCATTTCCTGGAATTCTAATCAACGTTTTCGCTATAGAAAGGTCAGTGCATTTCTGGTACCATGACAAAACTGCAAGCCTCTGGTAAACGATTTAAAAATCAGGTGACAAGGCACGATTCTCGGCACGATTTCCGTTTAGAATCGTTCACACAGTGCATTTAGAATGAGCTCGACGCGATCGACGAAAATTCTCCCCTTAACCCGAGCATCGACGTATCTTCGTGGGGTCCCTTTTGACCTCTGTCTTTCTTCGTCCTCCTCCTTTTATTAGTATTCGAGCGTATCACTCTCTCGAGAAAGTATTACCGTTAGATTATTTATCTTAGATGATGAGAATTTTAACTCGCCCTGCCTAGGGAGGAAGCGTCTTCTTGTGGAAGACTTGTACCCTTGACGCGGGTCGATCAAACTAGATAGGTAGACACTATTTTTATTTCTTATTACCCCCTCGAATATTCTTCGCGCTACGAAACCGTCTCTTTTCCACTGCGATATCGAAGAAACACTTTATAATTTATAAACGAAATAAAAAGAAGCACACTGAATTCTTTTCTAACTGTAGGGAATTGTAGGGAAATGAATTGTAATGCCGTTTTCGCGACGAATAAATTCTGGTTTTTTTTTTTTTTTTTCTTCTTTTACCTAAGGATTCGCGGTATCTAGTCTGATCTCGTTAGCTCGGAGCTAATTAGTTGCTACACGAAAACACGAAGAAGGACGTTCGTTGACGAAGTCGACGATTACATTTCGTTACGCAATTCGTCGCGAAAGCAGGAGATTAGTTAGATTTCTTTTTCTTGTTTTCTGTTTTGGTGTGAAGAAAGGAATTTTGCAATTGTTATTCTAGTTTATCCCAACGTACGATACTTAAGCGAGCCTCGATGGCTGGATGTGTTAACGAATCGAGCAAACAGAAATTCAGTGGCTCGTGGTTACTTATCGTTGAAACGGGCAACGAGATCAATGTGTACTTATAAATACTTATACGCAATGGAAACACATACTTAAAAAAAGAAAAAAAATGCGTTGTTCTACTATTCGCGACGCTAAGCTTGCGTTGAGATATAGCGGTTGTCTAATAACAAAGTATGTTTTTAATGGAAAAGACTTGTTCTTTAGCACCCGCCATCCTATCAATCAACCTTCCTTGATAAACTGGACGTACAAATTAATTAAAATAACGACACAAGCGTTTCATCGATGCAACAATAATTCAGAGTGAAATTTCTATATTGTTCCTTTATACGTATGTAGAAAAAGTATTATCAACAAATATTATTTGTTAAAAAAATGATGACTGTTAAAAATTTTCTGAATAAACTTATCGTTTCGTCTGCGACGTGTTTACTTGAAAGGTCTTTCGTTTAGAAATAAATAAGTATACGATCGTTGTAAAATAAAAATCGAATAATTATTTAGCGCGAATACAAACGAATATCACACGCACTTAATTTACAAAATATTCACGTCGATGCTGTTCGTCGAGAACCTCGGTGATCGATGAAAGAAGTAATTATACGTACTTACAACAATCAACGCGCATCACGGTCGTTCCATTAAAAAAAAAAAATATATATATATATATTTAAAAATCGATACGTTTCTTCAACAATTCTTCCTCTTCCTGACAGCATTCGATACCACATTCTTAAACATTTTATCGTTACAATATTTACATCGTTCTAGTACGCAATGGCTAAAATTCTGATCTCACGTTGCACCATACTAAATCTTCGACGGACGCATCTTTGGCCATTTACTAATCGTAAATCTTATGCATCCACTGGCAGTTCGTGTCACGAACTTTGTTTCATGCAAAGTTTCTGGCGTACAGAGAACAGTGTTCGCTTTTTAATCGCCTTCTGCTACGAATTGATCACGTACGTTATCCAATCGACCGTTTTAGCGACACGATGATAAATTCCTGGTTGACCTGGTTGGGCACACGAATATCCCGCCGAAACGATACCTATCAAGTACCATCGTCCTGTCTTTTCCAACATTAATGGTCCTCCGCTGTCACCCTGTACAGAGAAGTTTTGAATTATATCAAAGAAACATCTGAATATTAAAGTCATAGTCATCATCGTAAATTTCACGCTGAGGAATATAGAAAGTCGCGTCGTATATTCCCACTAGCTGGTTGTAACAAATCCAAGATCGTTCCAGTTAGATTGGACGGAGACATTAATTTCCATGTTGTTTCATTGTTGGATCGTGTTACGCGCAATTAGCGTGGAACAAACGATGCTAGAATATTGTTATATGCCAGTGTGCTATATAGTTATGTTATGTTGGCATCGAGTTCATCCTCGAAATTGAAACGAATCCGTTGACGCTTTCTTCGATTCCAAAGCAATTATAACAAAGTAGATACTCACTTGGCAGGAATCTTTGCCCCCGCCGCGATAGCCAGCACACATCATCTCGTCGTAAATGACCACGTTGATGCCATTTGAACGATGCCACCTTTCGCACACTCGGTTGTCTATCACAGGCACATCCACTGCTTGAAGAGTCTTTGGACGCAATCTCGATCCTATTTATTTCATAATTACCAAAATCATATGTCGCATCGGCAAACCTTAACGTTTCTATCAAATAAAACCATTGTCTTATTTACCAGCCTGCAGTGCGCCCCATCCAGCAGCCCAACCATATTGACCCAAGAAGTCCTCGTTCTTTTCAGGCAGACATATGGGTGCTATGTGAGGCATATAGTGAACTGGCCGATCCAATCGAAGAACAGCAACGTCGAACCTTGATCAACAGCATTCTAGTTTCATAAATTTATTCCCTTGTAAGATTAACGCGTTGAGGGATCGTGTCTACCTGTCAGCCTGAGGGGTAAACTTGAAGTAAGGATGGACACGTATCTCCCTGACACCAAAAGTGTAAGCTGGCAAGGATTCACTGGCTGAATTCACTATGTAGTCTCCTAGGGTAACCTGAACTTGACGAGCCGATGCCCTGGTAGAAACGTGAATCGTATTCGTATACTTGCTGGGAATAAAGTAAAAGTAGATTTTCTTCGATTCTCTACTCACTTGGCTACACAGTGTCCAGCAGTTACGACGTGGAATCGATTAACCAGGGTGCCTCCGCATCGACTGGATCCAATTCGAATATATGCCTGTGAAAGTAGAACATTTTCACTGTTTAAAAGGCTACACACGAGACGCGAAATGGTACGACATCGATTCGTCGATGCAAATCTGACCTGCCATGGGAAACTGCCAAATCCTGCTTCGTCACCACCGACGATTCTTCTTTGAGCGGTTTGCTTCGAGACGGGTATTCCGCAGCCTGCAATCAAAACGATGTAGACATTTGTCCCTTTAACCGTCTATCGATTGTTGCAGAGTTAGTAGCAAAGGTAGATATTTTGAAACGTTCTACCGTCACTTCGACAACTAAACGCTAACACCTTGATAAGCACGCGTAATTTAGTATTACCGAATTAGACTTGGAGTAATTCAGTAAGACTGTTGCTAATTCCATTGATTTAATAAAAAATTCACCGCGTTTCAAAAGGTAACTCCTTATTCGATTAGACGAGACCGTTTTTCTTTTTCAGAGGAGACAGAAAGGACTAGTCCCTTGCGAATAGAGGAAACCGGAAGTGGCTACGAAACCCAGAGGATTCGCGTGACGAAAAGCTTAGGATTCGTTTTTATCGCGATCAGCATGCAAGTTCGATCGACGAACAAGACCGAGTATACGATTAAATTGGAGAAATTCAAGAGGAAATTAGGATAGATTGCTTAGCATGCAACGTGTGTATCCACGAATCGGGCTAAAGTTATCGAAGGAAACAACGAAGGCTCGTACTTTCGTGCTTCGAGGTGTGCAAACAGAGAAAGTAAAGACCATTCGACGACATGCCGAGGAAAGTGCAAGTGCTAAGGAGACGAGTAATTTGCAAGCAAAATACGTTTCGACATGCCGAAAGAAGAAAGTGCAAGTGTGTATTAGGATTTGTAAAACAGACTAAGTACCACCGTAAACACTAGACTGGAATTAAAGAGTTAGATCATCGAGGTTGATCTAATTCCTTAAGAGATCTAGCGACATGGAGTAAAGAAAAATAAGTGGATAAGGAAAAGGATAAGGATGATGGTGCCGAGGGGAACGTTCTGAAAGAATAAGAATACATGCGTGATCGATCATGCTAGTGCAAGAATCGGATTGCATGCTTCAGTAGGAAGGACTTACGATCATTATTGGCGGTCTCCGTGTAAGTATCCAACGGAAGTGGCTGAGATTGATCTCTAGGTGCATCAATCAGGTTATAATCAGAGCTACCTTTCGGTTCTCTTCGCTGACAACAAGCGAACATAATGCCACCGCAACTGCCGTCCAATAGGCCAGCGGACATCCAGCACATTAGAAAAAATTCGCAGCTTCGTCCGTCAGCGCACAACGTATCGTCACCCTTCCACAGCGGTCTTTTTTGTTGACGCGATTCTGCACAAAACAGGCCAAACTGTTCTTTCTTCTCCTTCCTTTCACCGGCACTTTACCCCTTATTATTATAGGATTTTTCGAACTGATAGACTATCAAGAAATGAAAGGGTTTCACTTACTCGTACTCGAAAGATAGCGATTTCATTTCGTCCCGAGTAGCTGAAAGATTACTCCAAGCCTAGCTTCAGAATACTTTGTGAAAAATAATCGAAGGAGAAATCGTGCAATCGCGAAGGGTTGAAGGAATACAAACAGGAAAGAACGTTTCATCTGTCGTAACGACGCTGACGGAAACAGGTCCGATGATGTCGTAATCGTTTCGACAGCTGGCCAAGGATATTGCACCCGGCTAATTAACCATTATTCGCGAATTACGAAATCGCCTTTTAACGGATCGGTATGCTCTTTTCTCGTGGACAACGTACCTGACTCTAACCTAAGGAAATCGTCACCCGTTTGCTTGCGATGATCTGAAACAATAATTCACGTTTTACTATAATGCTATTGACATTTGACAATAGAAAATCTATAACCACCGCGTTACCTCTGATGTCATCCTCGAAATCGGGCAAATGGTTGGACTGCTGAAAGAAGGAAGATGATGCGCTGCCAGCCACCGGTGGTGGAAAATCGTTATCGCGAAAGATCAATCGTGGTGTTCGATGACCCATCACTGGCCTGCTGTACTCCGAGATAGGGCTCCTCCAAAGGGACTTTTGTTGCCTCCAGGATGGAAAACGTACACCAGGATGAACAGCGATGTTCCTTCCTATCGGAGGACCACCACCACCACCTCCAGCACTACCACCTTCGAAGAGATAACCAGCCGGACCGCTTGGAAATCGAACATATCGACGTCTGCGAGCTGAATTCGATGTCAAATCGGTCCGATTGGCATCGTTGCTTCGCGTTGTCACGTAACCAGCACTAAAGATCGTTTCTGACTTGCTGACGCTCGATCCTAAGCTCTCTGTTTGAACTCGATTCGAGGAGATGACGAGGAGTATTCCTAGGAGCAACCATTGGCACGAGGTAGCTGCACCCATCGTTTGCTGGAACAATAGTAAACGCACCGTCTAATTGTTTATCCGTTAAACATAATTAATGCCTAAAAGGTCACCGTTTCCGCACCATTCGTCTACCCTTATCCTTTACTCGAAGTAATATTTCTCTCGACCAGCATTATTTATCACAGAATCGTGTCTGCTTCGAAAACACCTCTTATCTCCCCGAATTTCACCGATGGCCTTTTTCACTTAAACTGTGCAAATTGTTAAACATTTGATCGTCCGATACGACGGTGTATCTCCAACTAAAGCAAACAAAGTGTACGAGGCAGGAGTTCCCTAGTTTGAACAACGTCGTTGCGAAGGGGGTAAAATAAATTCCTCGACAACGAGCAGAGAAAAACGAGCCCACAAAATTATTATATACCTTTACTGTTTTCTCTTTTTAACGACTCATCAGGATTTTCACTCGGCGATCCACATTGATCCTTCGTCGATCGTTGGAATAAGTTTTTTGTTAAATCGAGAGGGAAACGTGGCTGAGGTTAACGAGCCATTGGAACACGCAACTGTGTTACAAATCAGCTTTGACACGAACCGCGTTTCTTTTCTTCTTTTTTAGCTAACGCGTCGAGAAATGTACCTTGAACTGCAATTAACGCGTTCACGGTTAGATCGCGTGTTTCCATGGACTATTTACTTTTCAAAGGAAATGGTTTAGCGTTATTCGTTGCTGCAACGTTGTAGGAAATTCGCACCCTTTAATCCAAAGAGTTCCGATAATTCGAAAATTGACCTACTCGTCTCCAGAAAGCCGGAAGAGAGTAGAAAACAAGTTCCTCGGTACGATCGGACGAATTCTTCTTGTTCAAGGGAACGAAAATATGTTGTTTGCGTCACGTCTCTCCGTAACGGGTGAAAGTAAAAGAGGCTCACCCGGAACCAGGTAACGCATCGATTATACGAGATTCATAATGGTACCGGCAGCATCCTCTTCGGCCAATTATCGGGAATATCAAGGAGAAATGAAAATACTAAATTTTTATGCCTCCAGTGTCTAGTCGATGGTTGGCCAACCGCGTTCAGGGCAATTTAACCGTTTCGTAACAGATTAAAAATGTCCGAACAGACCTTCGTTGGCTAAGCTGAATGGGATAGTTACCGGTTAAGCAGGAATTTCCAAAGCAAGTAACAGAAAGTTCGATGCACTTGAACGATAGTGAAAAAGAAAATTAAGATCTGAGCTTATAAAATTTTTCCTTGTTAAGGTCAAGATTCTAAATGAAAGTTTCTTTCAAAGGAGTGGTAGAAATGATTGATCGGACGGAAAAAACTTGATCGTATAGAACGTCCTTGCAGGAATATCATGATCGTGGCAAGAGAATGGTTCGATGTGTTAGTAGGTCATTGGCTCTGTCGTGCAGATCGAGTAGAAGTGAAAGTGCACCTCTTGCATGTGCGACAGTGTGAAGTTCACGTTCATGCTGTGCCACCCGCTCCACCGGAAGTTACGAACCATCGACCATGTTCTTCTTCGACTCCTCCTTCTTCCTCTGGCTTCCCATTGTATCCCGTAGGGAGTTCTAATCTAACTCCCATAACGATTCGTACCGAGTGCAAATAGAAGACTCGATCGTGTCAATGGTGAAAATGTTGCAAGGATTTCAAGAACACGATCCTAAGAATGTTGATTCGCGCGACAAGAAAAGTGAAACCCGGTAGAAAATGTATTCCAGTTTCTAACTGGATTTTAAAGTCACTAATCAACTTAATGCTGTTGCAGTCTCGATAATATTTTAATTATTGTTTTTCTCTCTATATAGGCACGTATAAGGTATGGAAGAAAGCGAAGGGAAAACGTCTCCGTTCTTTATACTTTGAAAGAAATTGAAACTTGTGATTCTGTTAGCTCGTTGCATGTCAAATGGCCAATTTCGAAACATAGAAAGTCGGACACGATTCGATGACATAAAAGCATCGTCAAATATTTATCACTCGTGGCGTATCAATTTTGGGTTTTTTTTAATGAAAACGGCTTCAACGAGTCGGACTTGATTGGCGGCGAGTTAACGATGTAGCTATCAAGAGAAGAAAATAGATAGAAAATCGTTCTTTCTTGAACTCAATCGAAGGAAAAGTAGCGTTGAACGGATAAAAAAAAAAAGGATGAAACAGTCGATGGAAGAGAATCTCAGCAGCGTTGCACGAACTTTCACCTTCCTACAACTAGCTTCACTCTATCGTACAGGCTGATGCTCGAAAGTACAGAGAATTTCTTCTCTCTCATCTTGATGTACGAGATATACTCGCATAATTGTAGCTTCGTTTGCCAGCTGTTCGTGAAAGCCCACGTGCGTTGCCCGGGTATCCTGCCGCCTTTTTCTTTTTCCCGTTTTCATTCGTTCGTTCGTTCGTTTCTTCGGTACTGTTCGGTGTCAGCCGATTGGCGCCACACCGCAATCCACATCCCGAATTCCGTGTGAACCAACATTAAGAACGCGATCCATTACTTTCTCTGCAACACGGGCGCCGTTTACTTTCGCCGAAAGCTAACAGAGGAAAAAAAAAAGCCAAAATAAGAAGACGGCACGCGTAAAATTTTTCATACGACCACGGTCTTGTTCCGTTTGTTCGATCGAAGTGTAACCATCGTGAACGGTACAGAAATTGTTTCTCGCTACTGTTTTATTTATTTATTTATTCTTGCCAGGTTTGAAGATATTTAAAGGAAAGTTGCAAGCATTTCATCGAACCTTGATCGTATTTCAGTTTATCCTCGATTCACTCTCGGGGAGAACTTTCTTCTTCGAAGAAAACACAGTTCAAAGAGTGACGAACCACCAATGCTTCGTTCCTTGGAAACGAAGAAAATAAAGTGTCTCTGCTGAATGATTTTCACGATGGACAGCTCAATTGTTGAAATGCTATTTCAGCAGAAATATCGAGTAACCCTTTAAGGCCATACGCGAGTTCGATCTTTTAATGGAAACCGGTTCGAAGAAATCTGTACGTCACAGGTTCTGCCTCTTTCTTGATCGTGGCCTTGAAAGAGCTACATTTCTTCGCGGTCTAGTTCACCGATACCCTTTCATCACGAACACTTTCCATTGTGTAACGAATTTTTCTCTCCTTTCCTGCGCTACACTCCCACCCTTAAATTCGCCCTGTTAACCCTCGACCGATCCTCCGTTCGTTCCCTTTTCTAAACAGAAGGAATCGATCGCAGAAACAATCTGCATTGTTACTTTCTAGGAGAGAAATTAATTCACGGTATTAAGTAGCGTAATACCAGTCGTGGCGCGAGATGAAAATGGAGAAAAAGTGTGTCGGATAACTCGTCCGTCCGATTGAATATTCATGAATGTCTACACGGTTTGCCGGAAAGTTTCAATGGTAAAGTACCGTTTAATTAGATCTCGAGGCATTATCGGTGAAGAGAAAAGAGTCGAGGCAAAAGCGTGGAATGCATAGTACTCTGCTGTTTCATTATATTCGCTCATCGTCAGTGTTTAATAAACCCATTTATATTTCTTCGCTTTCAACACTTCTACAATGTTAGCGAAACGTTAGGTACGTAGGTATTTTTGTTCTTACGCATGGTTCACATCCGGAAGCCGTAAAGACTACGAATAACACTCCATGTATGGATGAAGAAGAACGTTAGATGGAACGACACACGTTTCTCGTGTCACGTCGTTTCCTTTCAAACTTGTATCGAATACTAGTGTTACGTAAAGGAGGAGTGGTGTTTAGGCAATCGGTAGAATGGTACCGAAGCGTGCATCCTTAATGTCTTGTCCCCTTGCTCGTGTCTCGTTTTGGAAAAGAACGGAAGTACTTTCACTGGCTACGAGGTCGGAAAGTTGAGCATTTCGATAGCCACTGCCAATTCGCCACGAGAAATCTCACTTTTTCTCTGTCGATCTTCTTGCTTGCTTGCTTGCTTACTTGCTTGCTTAATATATATCTAAGAACGCTTTCTTGATTCCGGACTCTTTGGAAGTACCTTTTTTAATCGACCAGAAGATATTCTTATTCGATACTGTTTGATTTATCTATACAATAAAATGGATAAATGGAATCTCGTATAAATTAGTGGATAAAGTATCGCGATCGTAAATGGAACCCGTTGGTGCAATGTTTCTATCCATTAATTTACCATCGATGGAAACTGGAATCTAGGCAAAGGTTGCGAGGAAGACCGGCAATTTATACCGGCTAGTAATAGCTACTTTAGTCGGCTGTTAGAATCAGTAGTTTCATTTGCCTATCTTGTCTCGTGCACCATGGTGGACAGGTTAGAAAGGCTTTCTTTTAAAAGCTAATCCGAACCTTCTCACTTTCACTCGATTTTTCCAATCGTCATGCCTCCAGTATTCTATTACAATATCTGGTGCACCAAGTTTGGTAAAAAAAAAAAAAACGCGTTACCTTTATTATCGTTTAGTAGAACTTGAAATTTTCGAACTTTCTTACAACATTTCTTTCCCCGAATTTCCACTTACCGCTCTCTCTGTCGAACGAAGACAATCCAGTTTTTCCAAATTTCTTCCAAGAGATCCTTCAGAAGGAACTCCTTAAGTCTCCACCACTCTCTCTTCTTCTTCCTCTTTTTCTTCCGCGTCGATCCTGAACAGTCCTCACCACCATAACACAACAAACACCAAGTATTTTTTTAGCCGCGATTCTCACTCGATTTTCGCCCAATAATTAAACTGAATCAACTCGGACGTTTACCAACATTCTGTCACAGCCACCAAAAACCCCTTAAAACGACGCTCTTCTTTACACTTTGATCATCTTTGTTTTCTTCAGCGAGGCGAGCCGAGTTTCTACTTTCTTTCCCATAGAAAGAAAGAACAAAAATGATCTTACGAAGAAACAGTTACTTCTCAAAAATTCCCCATCGAGTCCGTTGATTCAGATTGAAAATAAATACGGTTCAACTTTCAAGCTGAATGCGTCCTCTCCTCGAGATCCAATGTTTCTTCGCGTTGACGTTCTTGATGGTTGGCAAATATTTTGAAACACGTGGTGTTGGTACGAACGCGATCAACCAGAGGATCTATCGAAAGTTGAAGGAAGATCCTCGCACGATGGAGGGCTTACACCATGTCTATCCTCTCGTCTCGAGGAGCCCAGGTCGCCTGCTCGTCGTTGAACCACCGTCCGCTACCTCGGCTCTCACTTTCTCCGCCGAGTAGTTTCATTTCGGAAGGTAAAACTCTCTCGTGTGTCCCCACCAGCTTTACACCGGCTGCCTCGCTCTTCTCTCTGTCTCCGAGAACAGAAAAATCGACCGATCGAAAGGATACCATCGTCCTTCCATCGACGTCTCGTTTTCTTCTTTCTCCTCTTCTTCTTTGCTCGACAGAATTTCTCAACTGAATTTCATCGCTTCGATCGCTTCTGAAAAGAAATCATACAGTACGTTGGAGAACATTCAGAATGTTATAAAAGTCCAGCAAGTAAGAAAAAGTAGGAATCACCCCTTGTCGCGTTTTCTTCTTTCTCAGCTGGATTCGACGCGGTATGTTAATAAAGGATGTCAAGGGAAAGAAAATGAAGTAAATCGAATGTAAGAAGTAGCAACTTTGGGATGGCTAAGAAAATGCTGTTCCATTAAAGTAGAAGTAGAAGCAAGAAGAAAGTTTAGATGATTATTTTTCAAGCGGGTGGAAAGTTCCACGTTAAATTGACAATGGCGTGGACAAACGACGCATAAGACGGCCCATTATGAACCCAATCTTCCAGCAGGCTGCTTTTTTATTCTATCCTACTTAAATTTTCTGACGCCGAGTAAAAAGTTCCGCCAACGAATCTTAACGACGCGATGCGACGCGTCGCGTCCTGACGATCCCTCCAGTACCACGGATTTCCTTTAATATTCATCAACAGCATACTTTATCCGAGACTGTATAAGAGAATTTTTCATCGCGATTTCGTTCACGTTCGATCTGATTCGAACTGTTGCAAGTGTTCATTTTTATTCGAGGTGATTTGGAGTTTGAACTTTTTCTTGTTTTCCTATCGACAAAGAACAATTAACTTGCCGTTTCGACGGTGATTTTGCACGGTTTGCTCGTTCCTTCGAGCAGCTGGTAGGAAACGATTTCGAGCAATTAACGACGACCATTAATTCCGCAGGAAAAAAAAATAAACGCCGGCCATTGTGCCTCTGAACAAGAGCATGAAGAGAAAACTGTACGAGCTCGATCGTCAACGGGCATATTCGATTAACGATTACGACACAGACTGTAAACTGATAGACTATAGGCGAAGAGGATTCGCGTGAAAGAAATCGCTATCTAATGAAACCATGTATGGACACTTGGAAAGTATCCAGGTATAGGTGGCACGTACAAAATATGGAATACCAAAATGTGTGTTGCTGAAACGCGCGATAATTAACGCGAATTCGTCTTACTTCCGACAAAATATTCTGTTTAAAACACTGTAGTTCCGTTCAATTGTTTAACCAGAGGAGAAAGTTGTTGCCAAACTCGAAGTGAACGTCAAGGATCCTCTTGAAAGCTTCCAAATCTCTCGTGACTCAGAATCTTACGATTCACGACACATGTAATGAAGATCAACACGAATACCAGTCGTAGATACACTTTTCATTCGAATTTTGCAATTTCACCACCGCATGTGATCGATCCTCTATCGATCGAGACTCGCGTCATTTTTGCTCGCGTAATATCCTTCGACAAATGTTTTCTCACACGTAACCCTATCGGAACGTTCGTATCCGTTTCGGTGATAAAGCTGGCTAAAAATACCTGGAACGATTACAACAGAGAATTCATGGAATTCGCTAATTAATTTATCCGACGCTGACTCTGATCGCATTCTTCGCGAGCCGCGAGTATTTCGATACGAAGGATAAAGTGTATATCCTTTTGTTCTTGTAATTAACAAGAAACTCGAGAAATTCTTTCTTTGTCGTTCAGCTTGTTCATTCAAACAGCTCAGTGATTTGTAATTCGATCAGAATGAAAAAAAATAAAATTTGTGGGCGAAGAGGATCGCCTGGCGTGACAACGTGTTACGAGAGAGCGTGTATATCGATGAAGAAAGTAAGAGCGTTCCTCGAGAAGGAAGTTGTGAATTTAGGTGAGCTTGTTTGAAAGAACCGAGCGAAAGCGTTTCTAGATAAAATTCTGAACGTGCTGCGCCTACGACAGTGTTTCTTCTCGTTCCTTATCCATCATCATCTTCGCTTCCTTGCCTCTCCGACTTCATCCTCCTCTTTGTCCGTTTCCTAGATCATCAGAAAAAGTTTCGTACACTTTTTCTAGGTTGCCAAGCGTTACGTGAATGTCAGACGCTACTAACCGAGGCTAGAGAACCGATTCGTAATTGGGTCTGTTCGTGAGAATTCTCACTTCCTCATCCAGCCTCTCAGTGTCAACTTAAATTCTGGCTAATTATAATCGTGGAATTCATTTTTCTCGTGTCACATTTGTCTCATTGTTTCTTGCTTGAATAGAAAAGCTGAGAATTAATTATATTTTCCTCGAAGAAACCTAGTTTTCTCATCCATTTTCCGCTACTCGCACGGTATAAAATGAAATTGATAACGAAGACGACGATAGATTTGGAACGTTTAAACCTAATGAAAGATTTGTTCGATTAACGCACGGTTCAATTGCAACACGCAAATGAAAAAAACTGGGTCGAAGCTGGAAACAACGATCGCTGGATCGCTAGTGCACCTTTTATTTATCTAGACGAGTCTGCGGCACACCGCCCAGAGTCGTTAGAGCATAACTTTCTCCGTGTACTGGAAAGTCTAATATTTCCTTCGCGATCCTCCTCAATAAACATTCACAAGGTATCTACTGATCAATTTTTATTCGATAAATCATCAAGTGTTTGATCCCTTAACCTACTCCTAAACATGGATTTAATTTCTCCTAACGATCGTAATTAACAATCCACGTTGGATACTATCTTGATTCCTTTTCTTTTTAAATAATTTTGCAAACAATGCATACCGCAATTCTAACGCAATCTCTTGGTATGTGTATTTCAAATTTCACTGGCAATGAATGGGTGCTGGCCCCGTCTATTGTGACGAGAATTGCTAATTTTCATTTGAAAAGCTGCTGTAAAATCGGTGAATAAACATGTAGAAAATTTAAATGGGAAAGTGTTATGATCGTCACGTTTAGCGTGACATCACGAAAAGAATGAAAACAAAATCGATGTGACATCACGAAGCAATAGGGATGATGTCACATAGGTGGTCGAATATGTCCTTGCAATAATATTATATTCGATTTGCATCGATGCATGCGGAATTAATTACTTCGCGAGTAGCGCCGTTATCGAGAAGCCGTTTTGGCAATCGAAATCGAAGCTACGACACACTTGTTAGCTGTGTAATTATTTACCCCTTTTTGATCTACGATAAATAATGTCATGAAAATTAATAATTGTAAATGAAACAACCGAAAGGACGTAAGTTATAACGCTTCCAAAGCAATTTACATGGATTGATAAATCCAAAGTCTCTGACGTGCATAACAATGTTGTAAAACGCGTAATCCGGTTTACGCGACCCAGCCCTCCACCAGCAATTTGACGGCCCCGCCAGAACGAGGCCGTATATGTAATATGGCAAGGCTGAGCTCGAGACACTGACTGACAATGAGTAATGGAGTAAGTACTTACTTACTTACTTACCATCTTGTACGTATTACCAACAGTTGCCAAAAGCTTCAACAATTTCATCTTATCTCCGTTAGATGACATCACTCGGGAGTTTAAGGGTACCAAATTTGAAAAGCAAATTTATCTTCAAAGAAATTATTAATTACTAACATTTTCAAATCATCAAACTTATAAGGATCGATGTACTAAAGAAAAAAATTAACTTCTAGTAGATATGTAAACCCAAAAACTGTAATAACCAAGTCCCATACTTGTAGTTCCTTTTATTACAGCTAAACAGGGTTCCTTGGTCAAGCTGAAAATTTTAAGAAAATTAAAATGTGATAATCGCAAACCTATTCCAGCATAGTATGTAAAATACCCTTCTGTTGATATCTTACGTGTAAACGAGCCCCAACTTTCTCAAGCACACGACCGTCACTGCTTACTCCTCTTACTTTCTCCTCTGGGTCGCATGAAAAGTAGGTCTCGAAAACGATTGAGCAATCTTTTAAAGACCTTGCCATTCAATTTGCCAGCCGATGTCTCCGTTGTCTGCTCTTCCTTTAAATCTAAATCATCCTAATCTCGCCAATATTTCAATCCTCAACAAAACCATCTCTCTCTAACTTTCTTCGGTTAAAATACCTGGATGATCCAAACTAAAGATACCAGTGTAACTCCAGCCAGTTACATAATCCATAAATTAGAAAGAATTTAGTAAAAGTTACGCCGATAGCTGTGACATATTCGAGGTGCTTTATAGAGAAAGTGAACGATATGTTACTTGCACTGGAGTTTACAATAAACTTGAAAGGATAAAGTTTGCAAGTAAAGAGAAATAAGCAAAAGACACACCGTGTGGCGGATCTTGTACGTATTATCCACTTTCTAATCGATACATGACATTGTCCGTGAAGGGTAACACGGTGCCCTGGTCCAGTTTACTCGTGGACATTGATTCCCCGTTCGATCACTCTGCTGGAACAAGATCCACGCTAGACTGCATCCACTGCCGAGGATGCGATGGATCCTCTCGGCTCGCGGTCGCTCTTGCATCTTACTTTCGATGCTTTCGAATCAACCTCAGCTCGTTTTCATCGGCGAAAGTGAACGGAACGCGATGTTTCTAATTGGCACATCGGCATTTCGAGGCTCGATGGTAATCAATATCACGAACGAAAACGTCTATGTCGTTCTATAAATCCTCGCGATAAGTTTGCGACGGTAAGGGAGAAAGATTGCTCGGTGAAAAATTAATGAAAGAAAGGACAAGAGGGAAAGAGAACGGGGGAAAGAAATGAAAGGGCGTTTTACCTTCAACCTGTCGACTGCCGTGAGACCTCGATGCTTGAATTTCATCTAGTTAAATAGATGAAAATTTAATGTCACGAAAGTTACTTAAGTTCCTTAATACCGTTTATAGTTCAGAGTATGTACCCTGACTCTAAGAGGCGTAGGGTTCGCACTCATAAGGGAGTTTCTTGATGGAAAACAAAAAGAACAAAAAATGAAGAAAACGGTCCGACTAATTCAAATTAGGCATGGCTGTTTCTACTAACAATAAGACTACCGAATTGATTTCACAAGATTCTTTTGTTTTCTAAAATTATACACAACCACTTGTTAATGATGGTTTCAGAATAATTGGTACAACTATTACAGGGGAAAGAACATGATCGTAAGTATCAGAAGCGTAAACGAGAGTGTTTCGCATTTTCCAGTTCGTTTAATTATCGCGAACGAACCACAGTGATTCGAAATCGTTCGAGCCACTAGCACTTGGCACAAGAAACTAAACGATACTGTTATCGTCATAGGGATTCCGGGATAAAATTGTACGCGTTAAAGACCGCCCACCTATTCGAACAAATAAAGAAACAAATGGAATAATCGAATCCAAACTCACTCCGTTCGATCGTGACGGAAACTTGTTGCGTCTTTTCAAGACACATAACGTAAAATGGAAACGAAACGGAAAACACGATTGAAACTCGATATTAATGCGACGAGCAAAGAGAAACGAAAGCGATTAAAGAAGAAACAAGAGAAACCTCTTAAAACGTATTATCTCTACGGCGCGGCGATAAAAATTCAAAGGCAAGGTTAAATAATAATCGCGAAGCGAAGTTAAATAAAAAGATAAAAGAGGATAGAAGGCTCGAGAGAAACGACAAGTAGATAAAACGCCGAAAGAAAGAAAAATTTCCCAGTGGGCTGATCTAACACCGACCTATACTACTGACAAGTTAACGAAACTTTAGCAAAAATAATTACATCGTAACACGTGTTAAACTGCCTGAAAAACACGTGCTTCTTTTTCCCCGTGAGACAATCGAGGTGATTTCAAAATCTAAATTACGACATTTTTCAAAAAACTAAATAGTGAAAAGAAAAGAGTATAGTAAAGTAAAGAACGAAAATGCGTCAATTGAAGCTTATATTTTCGTCTTCAGCGTGTCTGATCGACTTCACTCGAAATTTTGTACACTATTTAACTCGATTAAGAACAATGAATCATTAAAACAGAGAACCTAGTTAGAAAATCGAAACGTGTTCACACTCAAATGTCTCGCGTCTCTCGTTCGCTATTTTCTTCTCATCTTCTCGTCGCTATTTTCGTTTCGTTTCGTTTGCAGGAGAAATAGTCAACGAGTCGTCGTACGTGTCTGTAAAGGAAGAAAAAACATCTGCAAGTGTGTGACTATTTCTCTGAAGAAATGATTATTAAAAACTCAAAGAAGATTATCTCTTTGTGGGAGAAATTTTTACTGGAGCAATTGCAACCCTTCAAAAATAGAAATAGAAACAGAAAGAAACGTGCCCCTTTATACGGCCACGTACGTACATTTCTCCAATAAACGTTGAGAAAAAAAATGATCTAATCGTATTTTAATTAAAAAGATAAAGAGATTCTTACCAACGAAACGATAGTCTTAGGACAGAAGAACAAGATCGTTTCCATTACTCGCGTCGTTGTCTCGATCGAGATTAACGTGATTAACTTGATCCATGAAATTTAGAACAGCGCTGAATCGATTTACAGAAGATACAGTTCGATAATCCAAAGGTGAACGTTTGCCGTATCGACTACCCAGAAAGAACCGGTCCATTCTTGGCACCACTTCCACCAATTTTGGTAAATATTCGCTGCTCTTTTGGAAATTTTGACTACGTCCGTACCTGCTCCCCGACACGAACAAAGAATCTACGAACACAGCAACAGCAAACAATTAACATAAAGCATGCGTTCATTTATTAAATCGCACAGTATCGTCCCAGATGTATTAATCCTGACCAATGCGAGCATAATTAATGAACGAACGTTCCATTCCAACAACTTTCATACTTCCCTCACCGTGTAGTATTTAACGTGATCTAATTTTCAGTTAACAAACTGCTACTTTTCTTTTGTCATGCGAGCATGGGAAATAAACAACTAATTGCTTCAAAGGACATCGATAAAGTAACAATTATTAACATGGATCAACGAACATTAATTGTTTGTTGAAACGAGAGGCAGGGGAAGAGAGGCGAGAGAATGCTGAAGAAAGAATAGTATTTCTCGTAGGGAAATTTCTTTAATTGGAAGCGTGACTAAAGGGAATGAAAGAAGAATGGTAAATTATCACGACGTGTCGAATGCGACAAAAGAGGGTGTATTTATCAAAAGTTACGTTTAGTACAAATGGATCGTATTCCCAGCGAAGAGATCGTGTATCCGGCAACTGGAAACTAATTGAAGACGACACTGACCATTCGGCCGCTAAACGACCGCAACGTTTCTGATTGCGAGCTAAATGAAAATGAAAGAGAAGAAAATTGATCAAGAGCTTCGAGTTCTCGTGGGTTACTTTTATGAATAACCCACTTCTAACGTGTTAACGCGTGAAACCTTGAAATGTTGTTTGCATTTAAAGGTTCGTCCTCTTGTAAATTATTCTGCAAATTAAGCAAATGGATTTATTTGGTTTATGTCCTCATCCTGTGACAGTTATAGTCCTTTTTATGTCACACGAACGTGAAACAACGGAAGAAGAATACCCTATGAATCTTGAAGCACCCCTATTTTTATACTTGCAATACTCTTTTTTTTTTCAAATGTATTTCAACCAATTCTTTTTCCAAGTACAAAATTTGAAATCTAGCGAAGTGAAAATATTAATTGAAGTTAAAGAAATGATTTTATCTTGAACCGATGTTTATTGGTTAACAAAATAATAGTTAGCAATTTGTTAACTGAAACGTTCAATAATTTTTCATTTAGAAAGAATTAGCGACTCACCTGCACGTGGTTCCTGTCGTTTACCATATCGTCCGATGTAGAAGTTTGGCTGGGAAGCGACCAGGGTTAAAACCGCACACGCGATCCATAAACACGTTACGATCTCGACGCTACCGAAACACGGTATCAACTGAATCTTTCTTCCTCGCGGAAACATTATTTCTCCTGCAAGCATAATTTTCAAATTTTTAAGCACCCGTACCATTCATTAGGTTAATTTTCTAAAATACTAGAATGTCGATTTACTTGAAATAAACCCTGTGACGTTTAAAGAGCGGTTCCTCGATGAAAATTATTTTCCTGGTAAGATCTTCAACTTTGTCTAACTTCCTGCAAATTATCACAGGATTCGATCGTCGACTAAAATTTCGTCAATTAAAGAAATACTCGTTCAACCTTCTAATTTCTATTTCCACGATCACGAACAACTTCACTGGAAGAATCAAATCATTTTCAACAGCAACGTGATCGATCACAGTGATCAAAACGAGACCTGATACGCGTTTTGATAATGAAAAAATATCGAAACACTGGTGAAGCAACACGTAAGAGCAACTGCGATGTACCACGATCCGTGAAACGCTTTATATAGTCTCTCCCAACCACCCACGAAGCATTCAAGCGACCCTTACCGGCGACCAATCGCAAAACAGCACCTCGTACCCTCTCCTTGCTGACCCCCGAAGAGTTTTCTTCTCTTTTCAAAACACCTACAATAAAATCGCGGGACACCGTTCCTGCACGAAACTGCACCCTTCTGTGCAATCATTTTCGATCGATGCTCGATCCTTGGTTCCATGATCTCTACTTTTCAATTTTCAGCTCTTTTACAACCATCAGAGAAATATCTTTGAATTCTTCTTGATGTGGCATGGTTGAACTTTCGTTGCTGCTAAAGTGAACCAAAAATTAATGTTCCTTCGAGTTCGTGAGATAAAAAAAGATAACTCAAGGTTCTTACGTATATCTTTAGACCATGAAAAGTTTAGTTAATTAAAAACAGAGATGAAATCCTCTGAATATTTTATTCAATTTCGATTTTATCCTTGTATTTTTTTATTCTCAACAAGTTTTCATCGAATTCTTCACGAGGCTCAACAATTATTGGAACTTGATGAGTTTAATCGTGATACAGCTCTGATTTAAAGGTACAGACGTCTTGTTTATTCTCCTCCAACAATTTGTTTCAATACCAATCAATCGGACGCGAATCTGACAAAAAATTGGAGCTGTTATTTGTCTAAATTTCACTTTGACAAGAATATTGAATCGAAGAAGAGTTCGATTTCCCAGGTTTTCCAACGGCCCGATCGGGAATCTACCGAGTGATGTGCTCGTAAAGCGCCACGACATAAAAAGGAAATGACCAGAGAATCTACTGGGTTTCGCATGATACTCGTGCTTTTTATTCGCTGACCATCGTCAACTCGATTTTAATGACCCGGAAAGCTTCATCCATATCCGGTCTCTTGCACCTCGCGAAGCAATAAGTTCATTCACAATTCATGTGCAAGAAAATGCATCGATAGTTTCTGAAATTAATTTTATTGTTGGTTACTTGTCTAGAAAATAAATCCACTTTAATTCAATGTTTTAGTAACCATGAAGTATTCCTACTTACTTCTCAAAGTATCGCGATGTCGACCATCAATTTAATTATTCACAGTTTTATAAAAATGTTACCGTAACAAACAATTCTACCTAGATTTTGTACTGTTTTTACAAGAAATCAAAGAAGAAAGGAAGTCAATAGTAGAAATAATGAAGAATTAAGAATAAGCCAGGTTGACGGATTAGACAATTGCTGGCACGAGACAATTTCGTTAAGTTTCCAATGTCTTGGTCGATTAAGGTCTCTTTGTTCGAACCTTCTTGGACACTAGGTAGATCCGTATCTGGTTGTTCCACTCGTTCGAAATAGAATTCAGCGAGTAATTAAAGTGACTTTCCATCCGAAAAAAGAAAGAGCGAGAGAAGGAACTGTTAGCAACCCTTGCTTCTCGACCGCTTTCATAATTTCTGGACGTTTAGAATCTTGTTCTGACTTAAAAAACGTTGTAACAATGGTACTAACGAAATTGATTAAACATGTTTGGCGACAGTATGTCTCTGTATCATCTCTGTACCTATACAGAAATGAATTTTCAAATTTAATGAATGATAGTCTAAAGAAATGACATTTTTTGTAAAATGAATAATCCGTACTCTTGTAAATTAATTCAAAACAACTGATTAATTATTCAACGACCCAACAACGAGAAGAAACTGAAAGGTTCGCTGACATTGCATACTTACTACTCACCCCTTTAACGAAGAAAAATGAAGAACGCTAGGACATCGTGTCATACATAAAAATACATTTTAAAAAAATATTGATCGAAGCTCCTTTTCGAAGTCAGTTAAAAATAATAAACTTTTACGAAATGTGGTATATTGATTTATGATTTAAAATTTTTTAAAAACACCTAAAATCGCGGTACAAGAAATCTTAATTAAAATAGCAATATTTATATATACGAGAATAAAATGTTCTCTTCTTCTCCCATTGAACGTATGTGTAACACACGCGTAGTGAGATGTAAGTAAAAAGGAACACGTCTTTACTGACAGTGATAATCTTTATTAAATAAACTCCACAAAGAAATTAGAAGACGATTATACTTATTGTGCCCTCTTCATATGCCCCTGATTTCATCCTGGGGTGTCAGGGACCCCGCTGCGCCAAAGACGACCTTTGGATACCGACCTGATATCTTGTGGGGTGTCAGGGACCCCTTTGCGACAGAGCTCTGCATACCGACCGGATATCATCTTGGGGTATCAGGGACCCCGAACACCGGTCACTCTCTCTGCATACCGACACGATCCCCCTGTGGCTGGGGGGTTTAGAATACAGCCAAGGTATCCCCTGCCTGTCGTAAGAGGCGACTAAAAGGGGGTTGTAATGGAGCGAGGTAGTATGATGTAAAAGTAAGGATAAGAAACAGAAGAAAAAGTACAGAGAATGTGTGAAGTACGTATTATTTTCATTGTTCGTGAGTGAATAATTTCTTATACAAGTTCATTTATACAAGTTCATTTTATAATAAATAATTGTAGTGCGCATACGCTACAGATGCGGTCGTACCCATCACTACTCCGAACAAGCGAGTTTCACGATTTGTTCGTTTTTCGTTCTTATATTTCGCTAGATCCGGTCAAACCCATCACTACTCCGAACAAGCGAGTTTCACGATTTGTTCGTTTTTCGTTCTTATATTTCGCTAGATCCGGTCAAACCCATCACTACCCCGAACAAGTAAGTTCCACGATTTGTTCGTTTTTAGGTCTTATATTTCGCTACTTGTTTCGGGGTCCCTGAAACCCCAGATACCATAATGTCGGTATACAAAGAGAGTCATTGGCACTTTGGGGTCTCCGAAACCCCAGATACCATAATGTCGGTATGCAAAGGGAGTCATTGGTGCTTTGGGGTCTCCGAAACCCCTGATACCACAATGTCGGTATGTAAAGAGATTCATTGGTGCTTTGGGGTCTCCGAAACCCCAGATACCATAATGTCGGTATGTAAAGGGAGTCATCGGTGCTTTGGGGTCTCCGAAACCCCAGATACCACAATGTCGGTATGTAAAGAGATTCATTGGTGCTTTGGGGTCTCCGAAACCCCAGATACCATAATGTCGGTATGCAAAGGGAGTCATTGGTGCTTTGGGGTCTCCGAAACCCCAGATACCACAATGTCGGTATGTAAAGAGATTCATTGGTGCTTTGGGGTCTCCGAAACCCCAGATACCATAATGTCGGTATGTAAAGGGAGTCATCGGTGCTTTGGGGTCTCCGAAACCCCAGATACCACAATGTCGGTATATAAAGAGATTCATTGGTGCTTTGGGGTCTCCGAAACCCCAGATACCATAATGTCGGTATGCAAAGGGAGTCATCGGTGCTTTGGGGTCTCCGAAACCCCAGATACCACAATGTCGATATATAAAGAGATTCATTGGTGCTTTGGGGTCTCCGAAACCCCAGATACCGTAATGTCGGTATGCAAAGGGAGTCATTGGTGCTTTGGGGTCTTCGAAACCCCAGATACCATAATGTCGGTATGCAGTGATAGTCATCTGTGCTTCGGGGTCCCTGACACCCCGGATAATATCAGGACCGTATGAAGAGGGCACAAACAGTATAATTTTTTTCCAGAGTTTATTTAATTTACTTCAATCATTTTTTTTGTTTATTAAATAAGATCATCGAAGGGGAATAACATTTATGATTATATCCCGCTTCTGGGTCTCAGCCGAGGACCCCATTTATTTTACTTTATCCAGTTATTTATATAATTTTATCGCTCATTATTGGCCAAGGGCATCTCAGTATCGCTTACATCCCTGCATTCCTTCCATCCCAGCATTCGTTACACTATTGCAACTCTTAAATACCTTTTTTTTTTTTTTTTTTTTATTTTTAACGTGGTGGAAATCTTCAGAAAGACACCTTCAGCCCCCCTGGGGAGGGGCCGAAGGTAGTGTGGGATTTTTAACCACTAAAACCACCACGGTGACCAGCACTAGGGCGATAGGGAGGGTCCTTTTTCCCTCCGCCATGTGCCAAACTCCGCCGACATCGGGGGCCACACCCGATGCCGGCACTCCTCGGACCGCGTGCAGTGGAGACCAGGGCCCCAGCCCCGGACCCCTGCGGAATTCCTTTGCATCCTTCGTTCCGTTACATCCCTTTATTCTTTTCATCCCTACATTTTTTACAGCTCTTCATTCTTTTCATCCCTATATTCTTTTCAACCCTACATTCTTTTCATCCCTGCATTCCTTACAGCTCTTCATCCCTTAAATTTAGATTCTTATCATCCCTACATTCCTTACATCTCTTCATCCCTTAAATCTCTACACTCTTTCCATCCCTACGCTCTTTTCATCCCTACACTCCTTTCATCCCTACACTCTTTTCATCCCTACATTCTTTTCGTTCCTACATTCTTTTTACCCCTATAGTCTCTTCATCCCTACATTCTTTTCATCCCTACATTCCTTTCATCCCTACATTCTTTTCACCCCTACATTCCTTACAACTCTTCATCCCTTAAATCCCTACATTCTTATCATCCCTACATTCTTTCCATCCCTATACTCTTTTCATCCCTTCTTTCCTTTCATCCCTACATTCCTTACAACTCTGCATCCCTTATAAATAAATTTCAAAAAACAGCGCCCCCTAGCGGCAAAAATGTGGACTAAAATTTCGATGTCGAATCAGCGCCCTCTGGTTTCAAAAAAAGGAACTATATCATGCTCAATTTCTGGCCCTCTAGCGGCAAAAATGTGAACTAAAATTTCGATGTCGAGTCAGCGCCCTCTGGTTTCGAAAAAAGGAACTATATCATGCTCGATTTCTGGCCCTCTGGCGGCAAAAATGTGAACTAAAATTTCGATGTCGAATCAGCGCCCTCTGGTTTCGAAAAAAGGAACTATATCATGCTCGATTTCTGGCCCTCTGGCGGCAAAAATGTGAACTAAAATTTCGAAGTCGAATCAGCGCCCTCTGGTGGCGAAAAAGGGAACTAAATTTGTATTTAATCGCAGGCCTTATAGCCGCAAAAATTTCAACTCAATTTCAGGGAGGTACTGGGATGTGTGGAATGCAGTAATACAAGTGATACAAGGATGTAAAGGAGACAGGCATGTAAGGGATGCAGGGATGTAAGGGATATTGGGATATAAAGAAGGCAGGAATGTGAGGAATGCAGAGATGTAAGGGATGTAGAGATGTGAGGAATACAGAGATGTAAGGGAAGCAGATATGTAAGGGATAAACAGATGTAAGGAATGTAGGGATATAAGGGATGAAGCGATGTAAGGAATGTAGGGGTGAAAAGAATGTAGGGATGAAAAGAATACAGAGATGTGAGGGATGCAGAGATGTTAGGAATACTGTGATGTAAGGGTTACTGGGATGTAGGGAATGCAGTGATATAAGGGTGCAGAGATATAGTGAAATCAGATATATAAAGGGTGCAGACGGCAGTAATAAAATCAACACGTTCGTCCTTTTAAGGAGTTTATTCAATAAGCTAAGAAGATAATTACAGCAAATTAACTGAACGCAGAAAATAAAGTAATGGTATACACATATGTAAGTACCGACACGATAACATCTTGGGGTGTTAGGGACCACGAAGTACCCGTAATACTCTTTGCATACTGCATTATGGTATCCGGGGTGTCAGGGACCCCGATGCATCTGTGGCACTCTCTGCATACTGATATTATGGCATCGGGGTGTTAGGGACCCCTGGCGACTCTCTCTGCATACCGACATGTCATCTTGGGGTGTTTAGGACCCCGCCGGTCACGTGTCGGTAAGTTGTCATGTAGTTTCCACCGTTTCTGTATAGATGGCGCTAGGATCGAATTTTTAAAATAATAATGGCGGTCTTTTTAAAATACAAATTTGTCAAACGTTTATTTTGATAGTTCTTCAGTCTCGTGTTAATTTTCTACATCGTGTTGACTTACATACATACTGTAATTATTTGTAAATACATTTTACAGCTATTGAAAAAACTTATTACACATTTCTTTGATAACTGTAATTAGTCATTTAAGTCATAGTTTACTAGGCACACGCTGAAAGTTCTGTCAACAGTGCTCTCAATTCTATTTTTCAACTTCTATCGCAGTCCTTTTAACAATTACTTAATTCTGTAAAGTAACAGTAACTGTAATTTAAATAATAATTCTAAAAGAAAGTATTAGCCGTTGTGTTCTTATTCATTATATTCTTCTTGCTTAGTAGCAAAAAGATAACCTAAGGTGCTAACCATGAATGTAACGTTAATCAGAATTCCACAATACGTACGTGGTAATATCTTAAATTATCGAAATGTAAGTTAAAATGTACAAAGTTCTTATATGCTATTTAGAAAAAACATTATTCATCTATTTTCATCGCCTGATATAAATGGTCTTTACTTAGTTTCTACAAAATTTTAAATGAAATCGCAGATTTTATTATGTTTTTATTCCAGTAATTATTATTATTATGTCATTTCAGATCAGATGTTATTCTGAAAAGAAGGACAGTGACAAAGAGATACCTACAAATCCATTAAAAGAGTATTACAGTGCAAATCAACAAACAGAAAATGGTCTTATATATGATAATAAACCTTTTAAGTATACCTGTATAGCTGGTAAAAAATATGCATGGTGTTTATGCGGTCAAAGTCATAGTCAACCATTCTGTGATGGTACTCATAAGAATCAATTTTTGAAAATTAAACAAAGGCCTATACATTTTACCGTAACTGAAACTAAATCTTATTGGCTTTGTAATTGTAAACAAACATCAAATAGACCTTTCTGCGATGGTACACATTTAAGGCCAGATATACAGGAAAAGAAATAAGAAAATTTGTAAAAAATTATGTGATTGTATAGAGTGTATGTACCAATATTATACTGTACATTTTTTTTCTTTAGTAAAGTTTTACTACCAAAGCTATGTCTTATTCTTTCATAGAACCTACCAAATATTTTAATTTTTCCTAATAGCTAAGGGTATGTACATTTGTAACATCTTTTTTTTTACACTTTCTATTGAATAGAAACGCGCCTTAAATGATCTAGAAGCTGACTTCACTTTAAACACGTTTAAATTTTAAACCTCGTTAAATAATGTGCGCATAACCATGAATAACCATTCTTACAGTAAATAGAATGTAAAAACAGTTGTAAAAATTTTTGCTGAAACAATTACATGAAGCAAACTTTAATCTTTGAAAAGTATTAATTGAACCCATCATGAAATCTGTGTAAGTTACGTTGTTTTATTTTCGAGTAATTTAATATATTTTCAGATTGTGTCTACTTAAATTAAAGTACGTTTTATTGACGATATTAATACATATAAGAGATAATGATGTGTAATAATAATATCATTATTATTTTTATTTCGGTAGGTATTCGAAACCACCTGTTGTGTCACGTAAAGTTGCAAGTCGACTGAAATTTGACGATGCACCCAAAGAACCTGTTAAAGTATTTTGTCGTTTGAGACCCATGGTCCATCCTAATGATGTATCCTGTATAAAAATTATTTCTGATACAACTTTAATTGTTACACCACCAGAAACAGGGCAAACAAATATTCGCACCACGAATAAAGTTATTCAGACATCTTTTAGTTATGTTTTTAGTCCAAATGCTTCTCAAAAAGAAGTATTCGATGTTGTAGCTTTGCCACTTGTTGAAAATCTCGTTAATGGTAAAAATAGTTTACTCTTTACGTATGGAGTAACTGGAAGTGGTAAAACTTATACCATGTCTGGCAATCCATATGATATAGGCATCATGCCTCGTAGTTTAGATGTCATTTTTAATAGCATAGCAAATTACCAAGCAAAGAAATTTATTTTTAAACCAGACAAGTTGAATGGTTTTGACATACAAAGCGAAGCTGATGCATTATTAGATAGACAAAATGAACTTCAAAGACTGATGCAAAATGGAAAAGTTCCTAAATTGTAAGTTCTGTACACCCATATAAATGTGCATCACATATGTATATAAATATTCTTAGATAGTTTTAATAATTTATTTTTTTAGATGCAAAGCTGATGGTGATGGTGACAATAATGGTGATGTTCTAAATCAAAGTAATGAATCTAGAACTTTAACTGTTGATGAGGATAATGTATATGCAGTCTTTGTAACATACATAGAAGTTTATAATAATAGCGTGTACGATCTACTAGAAGAACACGACGGGAAAACAAAGTGAGTATATTTCTCTAAAAAGTAGCTAACATTTCGTCAGATTTATGAAAGCATTGAAAAATTCAGAACTTTACAGAGTAAAATAATACGCGAGGATGGAAACAAAAATATGTACATTCATGGATGTACAGAAATAGAAGTAAAAAGTTCGGAAGAAGCGTTTGAAGTATTTGAACGTGGTCAACGGAAGAGGCACATTGCATATACTACTCTTAATGCAGAATCAAGTAGATCTCATAGCGTTTTTACTATAAGACTTGTACAGGTAAAATAATTCAATGACCTTCCTACAGTGCTACATTTACAACATTATTTTTCTACCAGGCACCATTGGATAGAGATGGTGAACAAGTTGTTCAAGACAAGAGAGTTATTTGTATCAGTCAATTATCTTTAGTTGATTTGGCTGGAAGCGAACGCACAAATCGTTCGAAAAATACTGGTCAAAGACTCAGAGAAGCAGGTAATTAATGAAAATCTTTTACATTTGACCACATGAATAAATTATGTTTATCGATGCAGGAAATATAAATAACTCATTAATGACACTACGAACTTGTTTGGAAATACTTCGTGAAAATCAAACTCAGGGTACAAACAAAATAGTTCCCTATAGGGACTCAAAAATAACGCATCTGTTTAAAAACTATTTTGATGGCGAAGGAAGCGTCAGAATGATCGTTTGCGTTAATCCTAGTGTAGACGACTATGACGAAACTATTGTAAGGATGTTTACATTAAAATTAAGTTTATTAAGAAGTAACAACAAATTGTTTATTCCTTTTTCATGTAGCAAGTGTTGAAATTTGCTGAAGTTAGTCAAGAAATACAAGTTATAAATTCTACAAATTCGAAGTTAGATTTTGGATATGTACCTGGCAGAAGACAAGCTAATAAAGTAAGAAAGTAGAAAAATTATATTAATATATCTATTTAAAACCGATATAAAATCTATACATATTTATTTGGTGTTACTATACGTATGTTTATTTTATAGATATTTAAAGAAGCAAGGAACAGATTGGAAAGTGCTGGTCATCCAGATGCTGCTAACTTAGAAGTCGATTTAGGTTTAGTTTACAGGTACATTATATTCAGTTCATCTTAAAATCAAGAAATCATTTTACTATGTCATTAATTTTCTTGTAGCCTCGGAGGACCATTTCCAGAAATGGATGTAACGAATCCACACAATGATGAAATAATTACTACACTTATGCACTTTTTAGAACTTCGTATTCAAAAACGAAATATTTTACGAGCGGATCTGCGACAAAAACGTAATATTTTCGATCAACTATTCATTTCAAATAAAATACTCTCGTTTCTAAAATTTCATATAAAATTCATCTTTTTAGAAACTAATTTTAGAAATCAGCTGGTAAAAATGGAACGAGAAAATGTATCGTTGAAAATTGACAATTCTACGTTGAAGGCCTCAAATGATCAACAAAAAAAGAAAGTAAGTTTTCGAATGAATATTTGAAACATCGTAATTATTATTCAACAATTGTTACAGATATCTGCTTTGGAAGCACATATATGTAAAACGGAAGGACAAATCGACACCCTATTGTACCGATTAAATAGCGCTAATGATATAATCAGACATATGAAGCAAGAAGTAATGCCTTTATTTTACATAATTTTTTTTTTTTTTTTCACTAAGGATCAACAAAAATTAATATTTTTTGATAGTTGAGGAATAAGGATGCGTTACTAAATCAGCGTACAATGGATAAACAAAGAGTGAAGGAAAAATATAGCACTAAAATTCAAGCAGAGGCCGATAAAATGAGCAAAGAATTGGAAAGTAAACTTCGCCGACAACGTGAACTGCTTCAGGTACAGAGCCATAATTATACATATCTTATACGATTATTAATTTTCCTCGATATTTATTTAGAATCAAATGAAAGGAGCAGAAGATAAATTAAACTTAGTCAAACAGATACTAATAAATGACGATAAAATTGATAACGGAGGAAAATTGGAATCTAAAGAAACAATCTCACCAACAACAGATGACACTGCAATTCCTACAACATCTAAGACTAGTATACTTGCACCAACTACTGCAATAGAAACCACCACTTCTACAACTACACCAAAAAATAGTGCAAAAGTTGCGTCTACCGTTACCTTTGAGGACAGTGGTGATATTCGGTTAAGTAGAAAAGTGAGTTGCTTTGTAAAGGTAGGATGATATTGTATCAAATTATTTTACCTTCAGTAACTTTTAGGAAAGAATTCCAGTAGTGAATCTGCGGTATAGACGATCTCAAAGTGCAGAAAGGTGGGTTGATCATCGGCCTCCTGGTTTAGTTCCAGTTGGAACCATTCTCCAACCGTTTATTCGACATAAACGAAGCGTTACGCAATTAACTGATCCAAAAGATATAACAGACAGAGCATCCAAATATTGTCTAGTTGCACAGGAACAGGATACGGATGGTGAACTCGAAACTAAACTATATAAAGTTAGTGTTAGTATTATTGTGAAATATATTTTTATAATCAAGTATAAACGATACGATATTTGTATTGTAGGGTGATATATTACCAACTAGTGGAGGAGGCGCACAAGTTGTATTCAATGACCTGGAATACTTGAAACAAGTATCACCTGTTGCAAGAAGAAAACGCAGCAGTTACTTGTCCCCAGAACCTAAAGATTTCTCTTCTCAAAAAGATTGCTGTGAATCAGAAGAAAAGAATTTGAAAAAACTTCGTGTCTAATTTATTAGGCAAACTTTTATACGTATTATTTTGCTTTCAAAATATTCTCGATTTCTTTTATAGATAAATTTAGATACATAATATATATGTAGGAACCAAAGACGCGAAGAGATGAAATTCTCTTTGATATCCTATGCAATAACTAAAGTACAAATAATTTACATGAATATTCAGCATATTTTTGTTTAACTTAATGACAAAAATATATATATATCTTGTTATTCAGTTATTTTAGCAATATAAAAATAAATAATAATTGTTTTTAGTTTAAAGTATATAATTGTTTTGACAAATATTGTTAGTTAGAAGTTAACTAACTTTGCTTATTACAAAATAAAATTGAACATATTCTTTTCTCATATCTTTTTTATTTATAATTCCGTAATATGTTAAATGTCCATCTATTTCCCGTGGCCTATACATACAACACAGACTCTGTGAATAATACAAATGTTAGGACAACAGAAGCCTGGATATGTATTGCCAACAGCAAAGTAATGAATATATACATCGTTTCTACACGGTGCAAATTATAAAAATCTAAACTGGAAAATCATGGAATTTTTCGGTAGTCCAGTCAAACACCTTGTAAATTTATATATTTCAAACTTTCTAATAGAACAAAGATTTTGAACAAATTTGAAACATGTTTAGTAGTTGCAAGTCAAATTAATACGGTAGTAAGAAAATAAAAACAAAAAAAAAGAAGAAAAGAATATATCCGAAGAATTTACTACCGTATCACGGTAAGCTATAACTTAAAGAACAAATGATATTTTATCGTACAGAAACTATGACATTACAGAAATTGAGCGTATCTTTGCAAGTGTAATACAGCAGCGTCGGCAATATGCATTACATTTTCATTCCCTCTTGTTATCTTTTCAATGTGTTGGCAACATATATACTCTATCCAACGAGACGAGACAGTAAATGCATAGAAACTCACGTGCTCGAAGCAGTCTCGGCTCACAGTACACAAACCTCGACGAAAACGTTTGAAGAATTGGAAACAACTGAGCTCCAGCCCTGCGTCGAGCGCGTAAACATATCCTGACTCGTCTCGTTGGACGGATTATAAAATCATACAAAGTATCGGGACTAGATGAATATCTTAATTAGTAAAGTAATTAGTCGTTATATTATAATCAGTTTTAACAAATTATAAAAAATCGATTATTAGATTATTTAAAGATAGAGTGTTATGCAACGATGCATTCTCCCGCTTTTTCTACCCATAGTAAAAAGGGTGTATGATCTTAGAATATTGTTCGTTAGAAGCTAGTTTGTTGCAATACAAGTTTGTGAAATGAAAAAGTCAAGCTATGTTAATTAAATTGTCCTGCATCGAAATTGTGAAGCGACTTCTTGTGCAACTGATTGCGCCAAAATTCTAACACATTGAGAATCGTGTACGACTAAAGATTTTATATATTGTTACAAAAATTTACGTATTGTCAACGCAGTACTGACGTCCCTTTATTTTTACGCTGAAAAATCAATATGACCAATACTTTTAATCGTACCTCTCTAAGAGTAGAACAAACTGGCATACCATCCTCAATGTGTCGAAGAAGAATACAAGTCATTTTTTGTTCTTTTTCTTAAATTCTATAATGAAAATCCATTCGTTAACTTTGAGCACTTTATGAATTAAAGGAGACATGAATCGTGCATAATACATACGACTCGCTTTGTTCCCTGCAAATATACTTCACGAACTAAGCGAATCGATGATCTGAACACCGACTCGCGGTAACTGAAATAACCGAAGAGCTGACATTTACAGACTTTAACATTCACTCGTAATTTTTAAAGTTTGAAGCTCTTATTATATAGTACCTCTTTCTTGCACGTATAATATAATTTCTCTCCTCTGTTTAGACCTATCAAAATGAGAATTTTCATTGTAATAGCAGTTACATTCTAATATTCGAATATTTAAACATTTCAGATAATACCACAGACAGTAGAAGCATCATAATATGCTTTAATGAAATCAGAGAGAGTTTTTACGATAGATGTAGGCTTCGTTAACGAAACACTCGGACTGTGTCTCGCTTGAGATTATCATATGTAACATCAACATTAATTTTAATATTTCCCAGTAAACTAGCGTACTAGATATTATTTACTGTCAAATGACGGTAATCAACGTAGTTTTCAAAGCACATTATGTGTACCAACAACAATGTACGACATAATAGTACGACAATGTAGTTTCTTCAACGTCACTCATATGCCAAGTTGAGTACAGCGAAACGATAAAAATATTGGCAAATATGAATACGAAGCATACCCATGAGTAGAATATCGAGAATCTCTTTATGAAACAAATTCTTCTGATATCTTATGAAACTTTCATGTATTTCTGCCTGTACACATAATGCACATAAATAAAAGTTTCGTGTTTTGAAAGTACAAATCAAGTTACTGAAACATAGAGAACACAAGAAAACCACAATATTTAACAATTGTGTTTATATAAAAATTGTTAATGAATACTGAGAAAATATGTCACTGGTAGTAAATATTAATAAACATTTTTCATCGGTTCCTTTGAAGTGGTAATTCGCAAAATTCAACCACTCGCAACGCGTCTAACTCCAATATAAATGTCATAAGAAATACTGAGACACGTAATAGAACAGTATTAACGTACCAAGTAAAACTCTTTGTAGTCAAACATCAAAGTGCAAAGAACAAATATTCAATGCACTAAACGTAAATATAATAAAAGCGACAGTATTATATCACGACTTTCGAACGAGCGATCCAAATGTACAAGCCTAACAACAACAAACAACGGGTTTATTCTATAGCTTTGCTCATGAATTCTATAAATCGCTTGCCATATTGTTCTGGATCACAGGTTGATATACCATCAACATTAGCACCATATTTCACTGTTTTAGCTGCCTTTGCTGCTTGTTTACGAACACCATAATGAGTCAGCACATCGATTATGGCTAAAAAATAAATTTCTTTTGTAGGTGCACCTGAAACAGAATAAAATTGAAAAGTTAATTTAATAAATAAAGTATTAATTGTACAGTATAATTACCTTCTTTACTGGGAATTGCATAAATATCTAATTCAGGAATTATTGCATCTTCATATTGTAAACTTGTGTCGCGCATCAACGCGGCATGTGGTGATTCAGGAGGTGTTGCCATACCAGCAACACCACTCCAACCCCATAAACGGCTAAGAAAAGAATAATTTTATAAATTCTGAAAATAATACTTTATAACATATTCAAGAGTAGCACATACTCTCCTATTGGACCTCGTGACTCAAGTCCGCTACCCGATTCACTATCATCTTCCTCTTCGTGATTATCCTCCTCTTCTTCTCTTTCAGCACGTTCTCTGTTCTCTTGTTCAGCTCGTGCACAATCATGTAACCCAAGTAATAAGGAATAATCCATCAAGTGCAACCGCGTTAAGAACTGTAAAGGTAGTTATTAATAAATGCAATATATGAAAATGAGTGTACGATAAAAGTATACGACTCACATCAACATCAGCAGTTAACGTTTCTATAAGTTTAGCTTTCGCTTCTTCGCCGATATAAATTTTCATTCCCTCCTTAACAAAGTCATTGTCTTTATAAGTAGGCAGATCTTTTTCTTTTTCTTTGTCAGATGCTTCACGATCAACTGTTGAGCCTTTTAAATCAAATTTCTTATGAGTCGTTAAATGATTTGAAAATACATTTCTTATAGCAACGACATAATGTTCGACTCCGTCTACTGTCAAGCGATACATGCCAAGATATTGAGGTAACAAAGTTTTTCCATGTCTTTCTACAATATACTGTAAGTATAAACATGTTAGATTTATACGTAAGTAAAAACATAAATAACGATAATAGTTTATACAATAATACATACCGGATGATAGTGCTTCAAAAATGAATGCATTCTTTCTACCTCTTCGCTCGTAAGAGTTTTAATAATGAACAATTTATCGTAAGATTGGTAAAATTTTGCACCACTTTTTCCAGAAGAGTCATCCAATATCGGTTGCGATCTGAAAATGAGAGAGAACAATTTTAGTTCTAATAATATGTTACAGTTTTGTTATATGAAAGCAAAACAAATTATATATTTTTTGCAGTGAAAACATTTTGCTTTTTACAACAGTTCTGTATAATACTTAGTAGCTATTAGTTTATGTTTACTACATATTTCAACATGCATTAAAAAGGGAACTACTTATTAAATTAACTATTAATAATTGATTCATAATAATGTTATTATTTATATGTTACAATATAAATTATATGTACCATTATGATACAATATGAAAAACTAATATAGAACATAATGTTTCTGATTAAAAGTATTTTAAGTTAAAGCAACTAAATACATGCTTTGACTATGTGTGATTCTTAATATTTTATTCTGTAATATTTCACAGAAATATGGATGTAAACACGTGTCTTGTTCAGAACAACACCATAAAAGAATATCATTTAAAATCAGTTTCATGTGTTTTAACTGACTTTCTGTGCTTAATAAAAGAACTCATGGAAACGTGTTAGCCACAAGCAACACGCACAAAATGAAAAATCAAGTCTAGCTAACCTCAGACGTTTTGGTTTAAAACTGTAGGAACGTAGTGGCTTATTTAGGACTGGGATCTGAGAAATAATAGAAGGAGAGAGGGTTATCGAAGGAGCAGTAGCAGAACGGCGAACCAATTCACGAGTCTTTCCACTCCCAGCCAAATTCCAATGCCTCTCTGTTCGCGAAGGATTAAATGCCCGACATCTAGTATCAAAATTCTTATGTTACAATTTACTACAAAAGTTTTTACTCATTGCATCCAAATGAAAACTATGTTTTGTATATACAAAGAAGTAAAATAAATCGGCTCGTTATTTTGTAATATTGACATTTATGTAGCTACAAGGTACTGTATTACATTCTGTACTGAAAACTAAATATTACTATATAATATACAAAGAATATATTAGTCACAACATCAATATATATACCATAAGATTTTTCTTTACTTTCAGATAGATTTTAAAAGATACACGAGCATAAAAAATTTTATAGATACAATTTTTATAAATATAAAACATTACTACTAATATTACAGAATAGATTTCTGATGAGATTTCAATTCAGAATCATATCAGACAAAATTTGTAATTATAATAAATTGCCTATGAATCATTGGGTACATTATCTTC